CAGACAATTAAATCCAGGCAGTGATCAACAACTGTCAACTCACAAGTCATCTGAAGGACAGGACTCTTTAAAGAGAAAGGCTGCCTGGGACTTAAAAGGTGAGGCTCAGATGCACCTTCTGCAACTCATTCACTGTGGTAACTAGGAAAGTTACTTAGCCTTGCATATGCCATTAAGTTCTCTTAGTCTCAGTTTCCTCATTTGTAAGATCTGGAAGGTTAAGCAAGATTTAAAAAGTCCCACCCCAGAATCTAAAATTCTATGCTTCTATGACTTCAAAGGAAGATAATGTTATCTATTACATTCTAGAAAACCACTATAAATACACTGGCATATATACAGTTAGAAAATTGGCAATTATATCCTTCTTTGCCAGGATATTTCCTTTGGTTCCTTTTTTCAGTGATTATATAAAATATTCAGAAAATAACTGAGAAATATAGAAAAATAAAAACAAACAATAACCACAATTCCCCTATCCAAACAAATAAAATTAAGTTCATATTTGGCTTTCTTGGCCCAGTTCTAAGAAAGAGATGTCAATAAAAACTTAATGTATTTTAATACAACTGGAAAGAAAGTGAATTTAGTATGAATTTTAGAATTGCAAGAAAAAAATGAATAGTAAAAATTAAATGAATCAGTGTAATAAGATAGAACTAAAATATGTATCAACAGCAAAAGACATGCCGCTAGATTTGGATTCTGACCAGAAGTACTGAACTTGCTGTCCAATGTGAAATTTTTCCTGCTCTCCCTAGCTTAAATCAGGCACTTGATGTAGCTCCCCAAGGCCTTTACTTGACTTTCACAGTAATTTGTACATGCATAATAAGAGAATTCACCTTTCATAATTATTTGGTAAAGGTTTTTTTCCCCACTAGCCTATAAGTTCCAAAAGCAAGGAGCATGTCATCTTCATGTGCCGGTGTAGCTCCTGTAGAACACCTTCATTTGTTGAACGAGATCATTTATCATTTGTTCTATATCACCTATTCCTGACAGGCTACTTCTCACAGGTCTAACATCCATCTTCAGGAGAACTACTACATAAAGGAATGACAAATTCAAAGACATGTGCTTATGAAGGCCTGTATCATTTAGATATCCTTAACTCAGGGATGGCTCACAGGCCAAATCTGGGCAGCCACATTTTTGTAAATAAAGTTTTGTTGGACTATGTTCACACACATTCATTTACATACGGTACACAGCTTCTTTTGTGTACCATAACAGAGCTGAGAGTTGAAACAGAGAGCAAAAAATATTTACCACATGGCCCTTTATAGAGTAAGTTTGCTGACCCCTGTCCTAGACCAATGCCCTTCAATTAATAGGAAGAAACATAGGGTAATGAGCTCACATGGCCTCTTCATGAAAATATTTAACATCACTAACCTATCTGCCAATGGTAATACTACTTTTAAAAATATAGTAACTCAGCTACTTAGTTCATAAACTTTTTAAAAGTAAAGAGATTAAGCACAGTATTTATAGCAACAACTAATCCAAATACAAATACTTTGTTTTTATATGCTTTTGGTAATACTTCAAATTTTTATGAGAGCTAATTTTATTATCAAAGGTACAAAACAAATTCCCACTATGCTGTGGTTTATTATTAAGCAGGATGAACAAAAAAATCACAATGCCAAATCAGCATTTCCATAGCAACCTGTACCTCTGTGAGTTCTTCTGCGAACAGGTAACACGGGCATGCTTTGTGCATTTAAAACACACCTTTGTTTTTTAATGATAAATTGTCTTACATGATTCGAGTCTACCTCTTCCTTCTGCTATCACACACAAATTAATCTTCAAACACCCTCTCCACCAAAAAAGTCATGAAAAAGTTAACACAATTGACTACAGGATAAAAGAGGTAGTACTGTCCACATTTCCCTTAGAGGTGACAACCAAATTAATTTCTCCATTAGACAATACAAAGAAAAAAGGTTGCTTGAATAAAAGCAATAGCCTTGTCAAAATGCTAATACAGTACTATTATAAATTCAACAACACATAAATTAGTCAATCAATTCTGTTATTAAAAATTGGTTTGAATATGTCTCGCCTGTATACTTGTTTGTCCAGTTAGTAGTTTAATTAATGCTACTGCAGGACGGACTGCAGGAGGTCCATGTATTCCCAAAAGGTGTCAATTAGCCAGGGGGAAAAAATGCCCCTTCTCCTTCCCAAGAAACATCTGTTCATACCAGGGAGACCCTTCTTTGACATCCATCCACACCAAAATATCCACCCTTAGGCAATAAGAAAAGCTATAAAACCCAATTTCCAACCTGACCCAGGGGACTACCAGTTCCCAGGTTCCTCTGCACGACCCCAGGCGGCCTTTTCCTTTCTTTTCTCTGCAAATACAATTTTTCTGACCTTTGCTGCTCGAGTCTGCCTCTGATTTCTATCCAAGAGGACCAACAGACCCTTGTCACCACCTAAGCTTCACAGCACCTCACTACCAATGGACTGGCTGATTACTGCTTAAAATTATTAGGAAATATCTAAATCATATTAAAACATTTTTAAAGAATAGTAGAAGGTGGAAAAGAAACATTTACTGAGTGCCTACTGTCTATCCTAGGAAGCTTTCTCGTAAGTAAATTTAGTAAGAATGATTCCATATGACTACTTAATCCAAAACATGTCATCTTCTAAAACTGGGACATTATTTTATAAGTCAAACTTTCTGTCATAAATTAATACACACTAGCACAGAATTTTTAAGGGTCAAATATCACTGGTAAATTTTTATAGCAGTCTAGCTCTTTAATGGTCTAGCTTAGTGAACTTAAATTTTTTCAAAAAACATTAACACTGTTCAGGAACACTAATGAAATAAAGCTGCAATGATTGGTAAATTAGCTAATATATAAAAAATCCCATAACATACAAATAATGTAAAAGAAAAACATTCAAACATGCTTTATTATTTATACCCATGAATCAATAAATAATATACAAAAAAGTCTTGATAATATAATAAATAAAACAAAATTAGTAAAACAAATCTCTATCCAAACATGGCAGAAGAAAAATATACAGACATAAAATCCAGACAGACCCTCAGCACTGCCTGACAACCCTACTTTTTTTCACTCACAGGTTCTCCAAAAGACTTTTTCACACCTTCTCAAACCTCTAATCAGCCCTCTCAGTTGATAACCACCATCTTTTCACTAAGCTAATGCAAGCAATAAGAAGAAAACTTGTCAAACTTTCATTTTTTGTCAAATTTATACCTACTGCATTTGTGTATTAATACTTTGTCTTTCCTCCTGTTATCATTGAGGGGCTATAACCAACTTCTTTCTAAAGCCAATCCTTCTCACATTCACTCTTGAACCCAATATAATTAGGCTTTTCTCCTTACTAAAACCATCCTCCCCCACCTCCGCAAAAAAAGACTTATTTAATTCAGACTTCCACATAAAGTGGTATCATTTTGGAGAAGGAAGTTCTAATAAATATGGCCTTCTTTCTATACATTGAATTTCCAGACCCTAGAAAATTTCTAGTAATTTTTCCAAAATAAACAAAGGTAAAATTATGCTAATAAGCTAAATTTAAGATCCCGTATAATTCCTACTGAGGGGTCCAATGACCATTCCCACTTAAACCCAAGTTTTTGTAACTCCTATACCCTTAGGGCTCTGGCACACACAGATGCCCTCATAACCTTTATTTTAGTTTTCATTAAGTTAATTTTTGACCAAGTGATATATCCACACATTTTTAAAATACTATAAATTGAAAAGGTACACAGTAAAAGGTCTCCCTCCCTATTCCTGTCTCTCAGATATCCAGTTCAAACTACCACTACAAAAATGTAACTGCTGGTGTCCTACAACAAGGGGCATTTTTTTTTTTCTGAAAAGGGCCAGATAATAAATATTCTGCAGCTTTGTGGGCTCTACAATCTTTATCACAACCATTCAACTCAGTCATTAGGGAGCAAAAGCAGCTTAAACAATATGTAAATGCATTTGCATATGTGTTTTAATAAAACTTTATTTGTATATATAGGCAGTGAAATGAATTTTTCCCTGCAGTCATAGTTTGGCAAATCCTATCATAGAGCTAAATTTAAATATGTCTCTTATAGAATGGTAGTGTTTAGATGGGACTGCAATAGAAAAGACTGTAACAAAGAACTATTATTGAAAATAAAAATTCATTCTTCTACCCATAATGATGTCCAAAATAATACATATTTTCATATACACATACTCAGGATTATTTCAAGATGCCTTCTCTGTGATGCATATATATCATTCCTACTATTTTTCTTCTACCTCCTCATGGCATAATTATGAAAAACTAGGAGAACATTAAGAGAAGAAAGAAAAAATGAAAAATCAGGCATGGAAGTGCATGCCTGTAATCACAGCTACTCAGGAGGTGGAAGCAGGAAGACCATGAGTTCAAAGTCAATCTGGACAAAGTTAGTGAGACCCTATCTCAAAAAAAAAAAAAAAAGGTTTGAGGAGTAAGTCAACTGGTAAAGTGTTTGTCTAGTAAGCAGAAGACTCTGGGTTTAATCCCCAGCACCACACACACACACACACACACACACACACACAAAGACAAGATGGAGTGGAAACTTAACAGGCAGCAATCATTAAATTATTAAATCATTAAATTCTGGCTCCATGCCAGGCACAGTGGCACATGCCTATAAACCCAGCTACTTGGGAGGCTGGAGGAGGAGGATCATGAGTTCCACATCAGGCTTGGCAACACAGTAAGATCCTGTCTCAACATTAAAAAAAAAAAAAAGGTCCCAAACTAAGTATTCCACAGCTTACACTGAAAAACAAACAAAATCCCAAAAGTGTATTTCTTTTCATATGTTCCCAAAAAAAATTCAACTAAAGAAAATAAACACGATTAGAGAGAAATTAGATCTCTCTAAAAGAAGCAGATCCTTGTTAGCCTAATACATGAGCTTCTCAAATTCCAAATGTGCTAGGAGTATGTCTTACCTTAGATACTGTTCTCAGAAAGAGTCTGTTCTGATTTTCTGCTGTTCCCATCTTTTCATTTTTGACTAAATCTTGTAGACTTAGATCATCATCATCATGAAAGTATCTGACCCTTACTTTTTCCTCATGCACTGAAACCTATGACAAAATGAACATAATTAATTTGATGAAAACATAAGTCTCTAAAGTATTTTAATGGATTATCTATAAATGCGATAATAAACCTAAAAATCTCACCATGTATCAAAATATGTCCTTTCTTGTTTATCCCTAGCCTACCGCTCCCATGAGAATTGCAGAATTATACATTCTGCCTTCCCCTTTAACTCTCCTCTTTCCCAGGAATAACAAGCATTACACTATCTGATTTCTGTGTGGGAGTAAACAGCAAAATTATTCTATCCCTTCTCCTCTCTTCTCCTCCTTGTAGTTAAATTCCTCTCCACTGTGAAAGACTGCAGTTATCTAAAGATAGAAGAAATATATAAAAAAACAGAGGTTGGACTTAATGTTTGTATACCCTCCCAAAAATAAAAATCCCTATGTTGAAATCCCAGTGTGATGGTATTAGAAGGTGGGGTCTCTGGGGAAGAAATTAGGTTATGCAGGTACAGTCCTCATGAATGGAATTAGTACTGCTATAAAAAGACATGACAGAGCTTGTTCTTTCTATGCTATGTGAAGATAAAATTAAAAAAACCACCATCTGCAATCCAGGAAGAACGTCATCACTAAACACTGAACCTGTCAGTGCCTTGATTTGGGCTTCCCAGTCTCCAGAACTGTAAGAAATAAATTTCTGCTGTTTAAGTCACAATTCCATGATATTCTGCTACAGCAGCTGGAACTGATAGACAATCACTTCTGTTAAAACCTTTGTTCTATAAATAGCTTTATCAGAAACAAAGCTGATATTCTGATATCCCCATCTAATTCAGTCCTGGGTTTTCCTCTCAGTTGGTTCCAGATTCGGTTAGAGAATAGAAAATTCCTATTTATTTCCTCCTAAAGCAATTCTCCCCAATGCTGCTCTCACATTTTCACAGCAAATAAAACAGGCCTTCAACTTTTTAAGATCTTTGGAACCAGGGTCCCACTCTTTTTCCCAACATTGCTATTCTTTTCCTCATTAGCCTAAACCTCATATGTCATGACTTCATACTCCCTGGCTTCAAAAACTTAATATCTGGCCTTCCTGCCAGACTTCATTATACTCAAACTGCAAATCCAGTCTGGAATGAATGTGTCTGCCTTCTTTATACCTACATTGCTCAGTAGTATGAAACTCAAAAATGACTCTCAATGCCATGTGCGAATGTGCTTAGGGATTCCTAGTCAGTTCTAGTCACTTCATATATTTAAACCTTCACTATTCTCTCCACATCTCCTCTCCAACCCGATCTTCCCATTGCATTAGAAAAGGTATCGATTCCATTTCTATTTGTTGAAAGAATTAATTAGAATCTCTAGCAGCAGAGACACTCAATGGGCAAGTAACATTTGAAAGAAAAATTCTGAACAATTCTTTTGTGTACTTAATTATTATCTGTATGATCTCAAATTTAAAACAAAAATCTTAGAAAAACTGAATATGCTGCTTTCTTCATCTTAAGTGCCTCGAGGCAGTGCTAAAAACTAATTGGTTTATCTGGAGGATGGAAAATAAAATTAGGTGCATAAAGGCTCATAGCACCTACATAATTAAGACCATACTGTGTACGAATATCCCATCACCAGGTCACAAATTAGCTGTCTAACAAAGGTAACAAGTCTGGGAGACCAACGTTTTTCTAAGAATGGTTAGTATGCAAAAAGAAACTAAATACAACCTCAAAGAAATGTCCACTAAAATTAAAACTGCCTTAAACATTCAATGTTATAATTATTTGACAAAAACACATTTTGTAAATGGCAAAGAGATACAACTAAGAATAAAAGCAATAACATAATTTACTACTTTGTAACATTTGCATTGGACAGCAACATTTTCGAAAATATTTTGTAGTGTAATACCAAGAAAGCCCCAAAGGGAAAAAAGGGAATTCCAAGGACAAAAAGAATTCTAATAGGCAAAACATATGTGAAACACACCCTCTGTCTCTTCCCTCTTCCTGCTTTGGACTCTGGAAGTTCTTGTGGTGCATTCACAGGCCACACTCTCCCAGACTCATCAGTTCTAACAAGGATCACTTCCTGGTGGTCTTCAATCTATGGAGAGATTTAGAGATAACTTTCAAAATAATTGTAAACAATGTTGAATGCTTACATTTAACAATAAAAATACCTGGAAAAGAGTCTAGCTTCCACATAATATTGTAGATTAGCTTAAGTCTCCTGGATGTTCATTATTCACTACAATGTAAAACAATCCTAATCTTTTCAGAAAAACAGCAGAGAAAATACCCAAAGTTTATTTTATATTTGAAACAAAATGCAATTGGAGAAGCAAACAAAACAGCTTTCATCTGGACACTATTAAAACTGACAAAGTACAACAAGCCACCAGGCATTGTGAGGGAACAAACACATCACTCATGCAGTAGATGGAATGCTTAACAGATATTTCTTAAATTTAAAAAGTCTACTACAAACTGATAAGAAATAACGCAACTAAGTGACAAATTAAACTTGTTAAATTAGTAACAATAATGATACTCCACAATTCTTACCTATTATCAGCCTTCAAATGCTTTTCATTTCTCTGACTCTTCAGAAGAAATTATATCCCACAAACTTTAAAGACATAATCTTTCCCACAAAACTATAGCCAAAACCATGCCTGCCACAATATATTATAAACTTTATTCTATGATGAAAATGGAATTACTGGTGGGGTTCTAATAAAGAATCAATAAAGAATATTAGGGAATAAATTCTTTAAGAAACAACTGGAAACAAGACCAAGCAAATTATTCACATTTCAATTTTCTTCTCAAATCAGAATCAAATATAAAAATCAATTTCAATTCCATTTAATAGATATCTAGTTGCTAGGAAAAAAATACATTCCTATTATTGGTCACATAGGAGTTATTTTTTGCACTCAATACTAAATGGAGAGTAAAGATTAACACTATAATTAATATGTTAATAAAAAAAGAAAAGATTACAAATACTATTCTTCCTCAATGAATTAATTAGCATTAATTAATGGAATGTTGTATTTTAAAGAATCTCTACTTCTTGCTCACTTACCAAATAATACAGATGGGCAATGCATTCTAACTTTATCAACTGCTAAAGCTGGTCTCCCTAAGGACTTTCAAATTACCAAATCCAACAGATAATTATTAAATTATCATCTTCCTTGATTTGAAATCACTTGATTCTGTTTATTATATTCTCTAGTCTTTGGAACTCTAAGTCTGTCTTTACATCTTTGACTCATTCATTCTTCATTCATCAAATATTTTTAATGTGCCTACATTTCTTAAAGAAATATAGCCCCTGCCTTCAAATATGTAACCCCATATGAGAATTACCCTTTTCATGAATTATCAGTATATGAAAAGCAACCTTTGGTTTCTCCTCCATTATTATGTAAGAGATCAATATAACGCCAAGTATGGCCCACTAACCAGTATGAGTCATGAGTCAGAATTATCAGACATGAAATATCTGTTACAAATCCAAGATGAGGTAAACAAATAAACTGAGTGTTTATAAACTTTTACAGAAGTCCTATGGAGTAATCCTATGTGGATTCAATCTAAAAAAAAAAAATGAGACTTGTAGTTCATGTTATTTCAATTTTATGTAATTCATTATATTGCACTTTATAAAACTTGCATATATAAGTATGTATACACAAAATCCTGATCCAACATCCATATAAGAAACACTGTACTAAATAGTGGAATTAGGGCCAAGTACTTTAACATAGCATATAGGCCTTCAGTTTCTGACTTGTATGCTTCTTTTCTGGCTCCTTGTAATTTTTGTAAATTGACAGTACATTGTGCTTCATGGAACAAGCATCCCTTCTTTTTATGGAAACCAATGATGCAGTCAGTCAGTGCTCTGTTACTAAATAAATTTAGGCACATTCATATTGCTAGATCATAAGCTTTTCAAGAACTATTTATCTACCTATAATTTAATCTTTGTCATTTCTTTCAGGTCAAAGACCACACACTGCTTAATATTTGTGAGACTGGGCACAAAGTCAAACAGTGGGTACTCCATAAATGCTGGATAAACAGAATTGGCAAATTAGTGCCTCAAACACTAATTAATATCCTGCCAAACCTATCCCACTTTCCCCCTTAGCTTAGCTGTCTCTCTCCAGCTATCTACTTTCTTTTCCACAGGCCTAACAATAACAAAAGACCTGAAGTTATCCCACTTTGGACATTTTAACCATCTACTTGGCATTAAAATCACAAAGAGAGATGAGAAGTTCATTCTACACAGAAAAATAGGCCAAAACATTTTCATCATCTACGTGATTTACTAACTTCTCTCCAAAGAAAGCAGGAACACTTTTTGACATAACTAGAAAGCATTTATAAAATCTTCCCATTTTCATAAGAATGCAACATGCTCCAAATTTTAAAATAATCCCCGGAAATCACCATTTGCTCTGCAGATCTTTTTATTTTGAAAACACCAAAACTGAGTGCTTTGTTACAAACATTTCATATAGGCATTTTTAGTAAATTTTAAAATGCTTTGGAACCATTAATTCATTCTCCATAAAATAGCCCTGTGATGGGCAGAAATCATGAATTCTTATTTTAAGGTGGAAAGGAGAAAACAAATCCCTGTTATGCATTACAAGATCAATTTGCTAACACAGCCAGTGATTATTTTCCCCTACACATACATATAATATTTGTGGGAAAATAAATAGTTCTCTCCCACAAAGTTTACTATCACTTTCACAGTAACAAGGAATTATACCTTTCAGCAAAACACACCTCACAGTCTAGTAATTCCAAATTTCTATTTAACCCAACAAATATTTAAAACTTAACTATGTTTCTCTGCAGGACAAAGACCAAGCTGCATACCACTTTATTCTAAGGACCTGGCACAGTGAAAAGTAACAGTGCGTACTTGATAAATGCTTGATAACTGGATTCACAAAACAGTGCTCATACAAATTAATTATACTATTGGGGCTACCCACCCTCCCTTCTACTTTCCTCTTCTATCCCTACTTTTCTACTTGTTCCTCAAACCTGCCAAAACAAAAATTACAGCAAGTTTTACCACTTTGGGTACCCAGGACAGAAATATTGAGGAGACCAGAAATATTAAGTTCCCAATTCACTACTATATTGATACCAAATATGGGCCTTAAGAATCTATGTCAGAGTCAGCAAACTATGGCCCACAGGCCAAATTCAGTCAGCTACCTGCATTTGTTCAGCTAAGAATTATGGTTGGGGGAAAAGCAAAATAATATATAATTTTAAGTATAAAATTAATTAAAATTCTACTTTTAGTGTGCATAAAGTTTTATTGGAACATAGCCACATGTACTCATTTATCTATTGTCTATGGCTGTTTTCATGCTACAACTGCAGTTGAACAGTTGTGAGTTATTATTTGACAGGCATTTTAGCACCACTTATACATAAGTAATTGACTAAAAAGAAAAGGAAAAATGTATTGCTCTGAGTCAACGTTGGTATTAAAAAATCTAAATGTTTGAAAGTCTTTCCTAGCATTTTGGAAAGAAAGCAAAATTCTTTAATTAAGTTGTATTTTCTCACCAGGTTCATGAACTTCCTGAGGTCCACAATGGTGCTCCACAAGCTTGTTATCATTAAGACCATATGGCCTCTGCTGCAACTTTTATCTTTTACATTTTCAGTAAACAAGTGATTACTATTATTCTTTATATTTTCATGACTTTTGGGCAGTCTTTACTGTATCTCTAATTATATCCACAATCATATTACAAGAAAGCAGGTTGTTCACTACACTCTAAGGAAAAACACATCAGAACATGGGAATAGGAAAAAGCAAACATTTTCTGATCAAGATCCCCAAAGCACAGGAAACAAAAGTAAAAATAGATAAATAAGATTACATCAAACTAAAAGCTTCTGCACAGCAAAGGAAATAATCATCAGAGTGAAAAGACTGCTTACAGAATGGGGAAAAATACTTGCCACCTATTCATTTGACAAATCATTAATATCCAGAGTATATAAGAAACACCAAACACTCAAAAGCAAAGGAAGGAAAAAAAGAACAAATAACCCAATGAAAACATGGGCAATAGATCTAAACAGACATTTCTTAAAAGAAGACATATAAGTGGCAACAGACAAATGAAAAAATGTTCACCATTACTAATCATCAAGGAAATGAAAATAAAAACCACAATGTCATCTCATCCTACTAAGAATGGCTATTAAGAAAAAAAGCTAAAGGTAGTAAGTGTTGAAAAGGACATGTAAAAAAAAAAAAAACTAAAAAAAAGAACCCTTGTCCACCACTGGTGGAGATTCCTCAAGAAACTAAAAATAGAACTACCATATTATCTAACAATAACACCAGCAGGTATATACCAAAGGAAATGAAACTGTATGTCAGAGACATCTGCACTCCCACGTTCATCTCGGTACTATTCACAACAGCCAAGTAACGGAAACAATCTAAGTGTCCACCAGTTGATGAGCGAATAAACAAAATGTGGCACACAGACACAATGGAATTCAACTTAGCCATTAAAAAATGAAATCCTGTAATTTGAAACAACATGGAAAGAAGTGGAAATCATTACATTAATTAAATAAGCCAAGCACCAACAGACAAGCACCACATGATCTCAATAACTCAGAACGTAAAAAAATCAATTCCGTCGAAGTTGAGAGTACAGTGGTAGTTACCAGGGCTCAGAGAGAGGAAAGTATGAGGAAAGGTTGATCAATGGATACTAAGGTACAGTTCCACAGGGTAAGAAATTCGGGATGTGCCATTGCTATCTATAGCAATTAAAAAGCTAGAAGAAAAGATTTTTGAATGCTTTCACCATAAAGAAATGATAAATGCCTGAGGAAATAGGTATGCTTAATGTAATTAAACACTGCATGATAGACACGTGTATCAAAACATCACAAGGCATTAATGTTTATTTTTATGTTTTATGTATCAGTTAAAAAACAATTTTCAGTTGAATTTTTTTCAAAAAGACAGACACTACTTTCTTCCTATAACATTTCCAACAAACAACCCATACAAGAAATAATTCCTTCCGGTTAAGCTATTCTAATGAATGGGGTTTTCTTTTCCCTGAAAGGGTAAAATTTCTAGCAGACATATTTCTAGATTTTTCTCCAAAAAGTCATTAAGTTTCTGTGTAGTAGTAAACAACTTCGTGCTTTCTTCTTATTTCTTAATAAAACTACTTTGAAAGCTAGATAAGTCAAGAGAATTCTGTCAGAACTTTTGGAAGAGGTCTGTTTTGCATATTACTGGGAGAGCTTGAAAAGGTGTGCAAGTGTCCCATCTCTGCAGAGAAGCTGAAAATACGTGTTTTTGGCCAAAGAATCTTTATAATAAAATCTTCCTATTTGAAGCTTCAAAGGGCTATACAGCTTCCAAAACAGGCAAACAGAAATTCTGTTTTGTATATTACTTTGAATATTCGCTACTAAATAATGAAGCCCACTGTTCAAAGCTAGGGAAAGCTAGAAATTTATTTTTTAAAAATTAGTACTATCAGAGTTGTGTACTCAAAGGATAAGATTTAGCCTCTCAGTTACACTATGATAGCCTTAAAACAGAAATGTCATTTGACAGATAAATGCTTCATTTTTTTTCCTTCTTTTCCAAGCAGCAAAATAGCTCAACAGTTGGCTACACAGATTCATCCAGACTTCACAGGAGTTCTCTCTATATGGCTCCTTTCTTGTCTCAGATACTTCAGTGTTTGATTTCACATTAGGCAAATGCATAGGGCAATGGAGAAAAAAATCACTTCAGATGAATACAGAAATGAAATCTTATGGGACATGGCAAATTTCAGCCAAAAGATGAGAATGTGGATAAGTTCATTTGACAGGGCCAGCGAAGCCTAAAATTACATAAGAAATGACACCTAACAAAATCTCAAGCTCAGGTCCAATCTTATTGGTTAGGATTCCACAGAGTGATCTTAAATCTCTAACCAGTGTTTGAAACCCATAAGTAAAAAAGGTATATAAAAGTAGTAACAGTTTAAAAATTTAAGAGAATTAAATTAATTAACCAGATAATTGATATTGAGAAATTTTAATGTTGTATTTCTCAATATAATTGAGTGATTTACTTAATCTATCAATGATATTTAAAGCTTAAGGAAAAGGTTATGTGACTCAAAATTCAATACATATATCAATTAAACACAAATAACTAAGCTATTCCCACCATTTTGTACTTCTTCAGAAATTTTTTTTTTTAAAAACGATTCATCAAAAAACAATGAATAAAATGAATACTTAAACCCAACTCTCCAGGACAGCTTTGACTATCCTTCAGCATCAAAGAGGTAACATGGAAACATAAGTACTTTCATGGGTTTAAATTTTTGCCCTCAACTTAGTAGTTTTACATCTGGATGATTTATTTAACGTTCTGTGCATCTCTTGGTCTCCAGATCTACAAATCTGTGATAATGGCAGAAAGCTGAATGTGTTAATGCATCTAACCTCTCAACACTGCACTGCATCCAACTCAAAACTTCAACTTCTTCCATCTACACTTATGCCCAAGATGCTTTTCATCAGGACCATGTATTTAAATACCACGCATGTGCTAAGAACTCCTAAATTTCTATCTCCAGCCCGCTTCTCCCAACCACATCTAACTGCCTACTTGACATCTCAACTTGTTCCTCACCTCCAAGGCATCCAAACTCAATACATGCAGACCTCTATGTTGAACAGAAAACCTCCACTTTCTTTCATCTGCTACTCAATTAATGGCCACCCTATTCTTTTGCCTCTTCAAGCTAAAGACACTGGAGTGTGCTTTGCACCTATCTTTATCTCATTACCCATCTACCACCACCCCCCACTTAAACCATCATAAAATCCAGCTCTCCTTTCAAAATACATACAGGAAATACTTGTATGTGTAAAAATGTGATCATTTCTAGCCATCTTAATTAAAGCCACAATCACTTCTTACCTGTATTATTACAAAACCCTACCTAGACTCCAGCTTCTGCCTTTATTCTCCTTCTATCTGATCTTAATGAAGAGGCCAGGATCATCCTATCACAGTATAATTTCTGAACTAAACATAGTGAATCATGCCTGTAATCCCAGCTACTTAGGACACAGAGATTGACAGGATCATGGTTTAAGGCCAACCCAGGCAAAAAATTAGTGAGACCTCCATCTCAATCTATAAACTAAGCATAATGGTACACATCTGTGATCCCAGCTATTCAAGAGGTCACAGGGAGAAGGACCATGGTCTGAGGCCATTCCCAGGCAAAAATGCAAGACTCTATCTATTAAATATCCAAAGGTAAAAAGGGCAAGGATCATGGTTCAAGTGTTCAAATGCCTGCCTAGTGAAACAAAGTATGTTCTTCTGCTCAAAACCCCATAACAGTTTCTCATTTCAGTCAAAATAAAAGCCTACTTCCTTATTAAATGACTTTGAAAGTTTAACATGATCTGGTCTCCCCTAGTCTCTTATCAGGGTCCCCTAACACCTCTCTCTCATTCATTCCACCAGAGCAACCTGGCTTCCATGCTGTTCTTCCTACCAGACATGTTCCCACTCTTTGAGCCTTAACTTCTCTGTCCACTATGCCTGGAATGCTCTTTACTCAGATAGAGATGCACTTCTTTGCTTACTTAGAAGTCTCTGCAGTGATATCGCTGTTCAATGAGAATCAGCCTTTGTGCCCAAGTCACTCAAATCCCCACTACCCTGCCATGGAATGTATAACTTTCTAATATGCTGTATAATTTATTTAGTTATTATTTTAGCATTTTATTGTCTCTCCATCCCCACCCAAATGAAAGTTCCATACAGGTGAATGTTTTTAATCTGTTTTGCTCAGTAATAAGTAGATGAACTAAACATAGAGCAAAATAATTTGTCTCATAAGAAATGGATTATCTAATTCAAGTCTCCCATTTGAAGCAAAAGAACTAAGGTTCATTTGGTTTACATAAGGTAAAGCAGCAGAGCCCAGAAGAAACCAGTTTTCCTTGTTCCCAGGCTTAGGCTTTTTACTATCAGGAAACATTGGTGAAATATAAGAGATACATATGAAAATAAATTTTAAAAATAAGCAAACAAGTATATATACCCTAAATCACAGACACATCTATTAAAATACTGCTAATGCAAAGTAATATTGCACAAGCTAATTTATGCTTGAAAAAGTAATAAACTTTTATTACTTACCTCTACCCCTGATTTTTTTGATGATATCTGTGTTGCAGTTTCTTTGAATTTATTTGCCTTCTCAAGTTGGGCCTTGAGCTTTTCAGCTAATTCCTTAAAAAATAAAAATGTCTTTTAATTCTTGGTAACAGAGTATTCCAAATTTGTATGACAGAAAGGAAAATAGCATAACACAGCCCATGTAGCCACCAGCTAACTTCAATTACATTTTGATGAACTTATCTCACTTACCAGCTTCTCAAATACCCATAGCATTTGTTTATGATCTGGAGGTAATAATTTCAAGGACTGTATTCTGAGGGAGCCAGGAATGACATTTTTATAATTCCTTAGATTTAATAAACTTCTAGTACTTAAAACTGCATTTATTTATTATAAGGAAACCATCACAAAATTGAAAATATTACTTTCTTTATTGTTAAGTAATTTCGATAAAATTTCTGAATATATTTCATTTATACTCTAGGAAATCTACAGGAATTTATATAAAACTGACATTAATCAACAAACCACAAAGTAAAAAAGAAAATAAATAGATTTATGTGACAAAGAACAGCATGCTCCACTACAATGGTTCCACGAACAAAGAAACACATGTCTTAAAAGTTAACCTCCTACTAGGCATCCTCTCTTTCATGCTTTTAACTAATTCCTCTACTTTCATAACTTAAACTAATCTCTTATTAATTTCTGGACTGAGTTAAGTCCACTGTTACCCAAGACCATATTCAAAGAGAAAGATGAGCATATGCAAGATATGCCTTTTACCAGACATACAAACTAGTAAAAACAAAAACATCTTGTCTGGCTACCTTTTGTTCTACTAAAGAATTCTGCACCGATAGCACACCAAAACAGAAAGCTACTTAAAGATCACTTATATCTGAGTCTGACATGAATCCATACATATGACGGTAAGTGAATCAACTGTGTCAGGACATAGAAAGCTATCCGGCTTTGCTGTTCTGCAATATAACATGAGCTGATATAACAGGCATTGTGATAATAGAATGAATAAATGAATGAATGAATGAAGCAGTTCTTACCAAGTCAGTCCCATTTAAATATATTATTTAGAAGACAGTAAGTACTGTTTCTAGAAATGTTTGAAAATTTCTTTAAGGAATTAATTAGCAAGTTATTTTCAAAGTATGCCGTATCTACACTACTGAGGACCTTCAAAAATTACTTGTACAAGTTAAATATTTAAGAGTCTTACCATATTCCCCATCATCTCTGCCTTGATAATCTTGGCTCCCAACTTATTCTTTTCATCAACACTCAGTATGTGCAGGGATTCACCCTCTCGACTGCAGAAGAACAGGACAGCGTGTGAAATACAGACGCAAGTAACATCAATCTCAGACATTATCTTAACTGACCTCAGCAAAACAGTCAGCACCAATAGGGAAACATGACTCTAACACGTAAAAATTAGATTCAATGTTCCACCATAAATCAACACATCGAGGTTCTCTGTTACAAAGCCATGATGGCTTACCGCAGTTTTAACAACTGATCAAAGTTCCAGTAACAATGAAACAAATAATATTAAAAAAAACTGTCCTTCATTATTCAATAGTTACATACTAAAAAAAGAAAATAACAACAAAAAAGCAAAAACTAGGGTCAGGCCAAACAATTCTACACATTTTGGAAAACTTTTCTCATTCAATGTGATAAACTATCGATAATCTATGAAACTATAATCTTAAAACAGTACATTTAACTGCATTCAAAGAATAAAGGCAATGATCATGTGTTCTTTTTGCAAAGTCAGTCCAGAATTAATCAGACACAGAAACTAAATTAAAACTGAGATCACATGCCAAACCCCTAACATAAAAGCCTCACGTAAGAGAAATTTCCAGTCAAGGTTAGATTCACTCAGGTTACTGCCTTAAAAAAGATTCAAGGCAAAAAAAACAGGGAGAGTGAACCCAGTAAGATTCTGATGGACTCCTGAGTGAATGAGAAATAACTAACAGTGCAAGAATTTCAAGGCAGTTACAGTGCACTGGAAAGAGTACCAGAGGGAAGAAAAAGCAACACAGTGAGAGAAACCCAGAGAATTCCATGTAATGATTCAGCAAGAAAATACCTGTAGGCAGAGAAACAACTATCCCAAAGTTTTAAAGCAATAACATCTGATACTAGCTGGTCCCACTAGCTAGAATAAGAAACCTCATAATTCAGAAAATATTGGGTAGACTATAAAGGGCCCTACTTCACTAGAGGAAACTAATAAGCCACAGACTAAATGCTGCTCTGGACCCAACTAACAAATGTTAAAATCAAGAGTCAAAAGGTCACCACTACTGATGAATGGATTAAGAAAATGTAGTATTTATACACAATAGAATTTTACTCAGCCACAAAGAAGAATGAAATTTTGTCATTCGCAAGTAAATGGATGGAACTGGAGAACATCATCTTAAGTAAAGTTAGCCAGGCCAAAAGTCACATGTTCTCCCTCATATGCAGATTATAGACCTAAAACAAATACAGCAATATCATGGGACATGGGTCACACAAAGGGGAGGCTGCACACAGGAGAGACAGGACAAGGGAAGGAAACCAAAAACTTGAATGTAGTTGATGTGCTCACTGTACAGGAATGAATAAAGAAATTTTAAACTGGTGGGGGCCACCATGAGAAGTGGACTAGGAGGAAGAGGACTAGAAGAGGTGACCAACTGGGCTTGTAAAACATATATGCATGGAAACAACACAAGGAAACTCCCAGAAACACCTTGTTTCTCTTTTTTTGTCTTTTATGTTTTTTCTTCTACAAAATCAGAGAACAGGAGGGAGGAACAGGTTCTGCACCCCACCCGATGGGGGGTTGGCACCGGTGGGAGGGGGTCAGTAGCAGGGAAAGGGGTAGAAGGGTGAATATGGTGCACATAATATATACACATGTATGTAAATGCAAAAATGATACCTGTTAAAACTGTTCCAGGGATCAGGGGAGAGAGGAAGAAAGAGAGCAATGGAGGGAGTGAATTCAAGTATGATATATTTGATATACTGTAAGAACCTTTGTAAATGCTACAATGTACTCCCACCCAGAACAATTTAAAAAAATAAAATGAAATAAAACAAAAATCACCACCAAAAAAAAAAAAAAGAGTCAAAAGGTCAAATGGGGCTTGAGTATGGCTCAAGTGGTAGAGCCCCTGCTTAGCAAGTCCAAGGCTCTGAGTACTACCAAAAAGATTTTTGGACAATAAAAAGCTGAAAGAATTTTAAAGAAAAGCCTTCAGGCAGAAGAAAAAAATAAAAGCAAGTAAGAACCACATCAAGGAAGAACACCTAAAATGACTACAGGGCAAATATGTAAGACATTTTGCTTACTGCATAAATCTCTTTGAGATAACTATTTAAACACAAGTAATAATACATTTGGAGTTCATAGCAATTGTATGTAAAATATATGACAACATTAACAGAAAGGAGGAGAAATACATATAAAGTATGGTAAAGTTCTTACATCACACAGGAGTGACATCATATCACTTGAAGGTAGATGGTAAGTTAAAGATATATTACTATCAAAGCTAAAGCTACATTAAAAAATTACAACAACAAAGGAAATGAAATGGTATCATAAAAATATCCAATCCACAAAAAGAATGAAAAAAGGAAAAAGAAAAGAGACAGTTGGGACAAGATTTGAACCTAATTATAGGCTGAGCATCCTTAATCAAAAATTCTGAAATCCAAAATCTGAAACATTTTTAGCATCAACATGTTGCCATACGTGGACATCATGTGAAGATTGCACCCAAAATGCAGGCATACATTTAAGCCAGATGTTGGTAGCTCACGCCTGTAATCCTAGCTACATGGAAGGCAGAGATCAGGAGGATCATAATTCAAGGTCAGCCTGGGCAAATAATTTGAGAGAGCCTATCACCAAACTAATACTCAACACATACACAAAAAAGGGCTGGGAGCATTGGCTCAAGTGGTAGATTGCCAACTTAGCAAGCGTGAAGCCCTGAGTTCAAACCGGTTTGCCCCAAAAAATAAATAAATAAATATATATGTATATGTATATATATATACACATATACATATTTATTAGAACTCAGGTTCTAAGCATTTTGGTTAAGGAACATGTGTACATCAATAATATCAATACACATAAATGGTCTGTATTAAAAGATAGAAATTATTAGATAGATAAAAAAGAAAAATTCAGCTAGATCCAATCCTCCAACTGTTCCAAACAAAACAGCATACCTGAAAATAAACAATGAGTGAAGAACGAAGGCAAAGGGAAATATCGGAATATTTTGAATGGAACAAAAATGTAAATACAACGCATCAGAATTTCTGGGATGTGACTAAAGCGTTCTTTCTGGGAAAAAAATTATAGTACTTCTAATCTCAGAAAAAGAGAAAAATTTCAGGTCATACCTTAAGAAAAAAAGAGCAAATTAAACAGAAAGTAAGGACAATATAAGAAACAATAAAAATTAAAGCTAAAATAAATGAAATTGAATTTTCAATGAAACCCAAGATTGCTTTTTTTAAGATAATCAATAAAACAGATAAACCTCCAGACTGAGTAATGAGGAAAATGAAGATACAATTCTTAAAAAGAAGTGAGATGGTTAGCACCACTATGCATTCTACAACACTTTACAAAAACATAAGCATATGATAAGTAAGCACTTGAGGAGATGTTGAACATCAGCTGAGGGATCACAAATTAAGACCATGGTATATCACTACACAGTGCTACAGCTACAACATAGTTGTCTTGAATTCCTAGATTTTATCACACTTCATTGAAATTTTTTTAATTTTTTATTCATTTATTCACATGTGCATACATTGTTTGAGCCATTCCTCCCCCCTGCCCTCCACCCCTTCCCTCTCTCTCCCATCCACCCTCCGTGCTTCCAGGCAGAACCTGTTCTGCCCTTATCTCTAATTTTGTTGAAGAGAAGACATAAGCAATAAGAAGAAAGACAAAGCATTTCTGCTAGTTGAGGTAAGAATAGCTATATAGATTCCTAGCATTGCTTCCATGTACAAATGTGTTACAACCTAATCAGGTTTTCAACATACTTTAGAGCAAGAAATAGCAAAAATACATAAGCAACCTCCACATCAAAAATTGACCTCATAACAATGTATGGAAATTTGTTTAAAAAGTGAATTCTTTTGCCATAAAAAAAGAAATCTTCTTAACAGATAACATTTGAGCTTTGTTTTGGTTTTTTTGTTTTATTTTGGTTTTGGTGGTGCTGACGTTTGAACTCAGGGCCTCATGTTTGCTGGGCAGGCACTCTACCACTTACGCCACTCTGCGTCCCATTTGAGGTTTTTTTGGGAGAAGGGATTGTTTTATTGTTTTTTAAGCTACATTGTCTGTGCTGCAAAAACCATTTTGTCTCATAACTGGTGAACTTGAAAGGCAAGACTGGTGCTTAGACTAAGAAATCTGAATTGTTTCACATAAAGCACCATTAGAAAGTAACACATCTTTCTTCCCCTTATATTCTTTCAGTCTGTATTTTAAAAAGCAATTAAAACAAACAGTGTGGGTACTGCATTTGTGTGATCAGAAGAAAATTACAACTTTTTATATGCCTCTTATGGGCTGAGTTATTGCTTGTATCATTAGTTGTACTTTTTTGTAGGGAAAATTTTTTTCAGTAATTTTTTTCAAATTAAATTCTGAGGTATACGACATTTTTATTATATTATAAATGTTATTTATTTGAATTTCAGGAAACTCAAATATAGTACTATAAAATTTTACTACCTAAGCAACACAACTTTTCTCAATTTATATTATTTCTCATGAAACTTCTTGTCCAAAATTGTCTGCTCTGAAAATCTATTGTTCAGGTCCACTAGGTAGAAGTTATAGAGATTAGAGAAATTTTTGCATGTGTGTATAATACAAAATAAAACAACCACAGTTCATACACCTTCCAAACAGAATCAGTTCAGTTACGTCCCATGAATTCTGCTTGCTCCAGGGTCTGCCTCTAAAACTCTTTTTTCCTAAGTGAGAAATGTCTTGGTTGCTTTTCCTTTCAGCCCTTTCTGCCTTTCTTCATTTTCCAAGTACTTCACCAACTTAGTTATGTCTACTTAATCTACTTTTTATTTCAACACTAGCCAGCTAAGAAAATAAATGACTAAGGGAAGTAAAAATTGATAAAGAGGTGGTTTCCCTAGTATTTCTCCAAATTTTTCCATGTTATTCCAGTAGATGCTTACTATAATCCAGATACAGGACAATTCTCCAGATTTCCTACCAAGTTCAGTCATTCAAAAAGTAAGTCATCTTGAAACCAAGCTTACATTTGGTAAAATCAGAAGAAACTGATCCTGTATCAAATCATCTCCTTCTTTTGAGATTTTAGAAACATTAATATAAACCACTGTACTAAGTGTCAACATGGAAATAAAACTCATGCCTACTGTAGGCATAGGTAAAAGTTAAAGTACACACACCTAAAAACAACTAATGAAATTCTGGGCTTCTGATGCAAGCTTTTCATAAGGCACTGAAAGTCATGTCTTTATAATGTAGTTATTTCTTCCTTGTAAGAAATGGGAAGTGCCCTTAGTATTCTAAGAAAAGGAGTTTTTAATTTTTTTAATTGTACAATTAAAAAATTGTACAATTTCTCTCTCTCTCTCTCTCTCTCACATACACACATACACACACAAACACACACACACCTCACTGGCTGAAAACTTTTCACGAAGAAGTAATTAAATACTGCAATTATTCTTCTCTGCTAGCAGTATTCACAGACTGCTCTTTAATTATTCTGTCCTTACCACATATTCTCATATTTTCTTCCCTGCCTCAGGATCTTATGATTCTACTCAAAGTCTTGAAAACCTGGTTTTCTTCTCTTGCCCTTCTGAGTTGTAACACCAGCTCTGCCAAGAATGACTCCAAGGGTTAGAACATTATACTAAATGGGTTAGCTGCTTATTAAATTCATCAAATCTAAATTAATCTAAACATTAGGTTTTTCCATACTAAGTACTACTCTAGATTTCAAACTTCTGAAAGTATTTAGGTAATATATTTTCCAACAAAAGAAAATACTGTATAAACACATTTCATTTCAAAGCATAATAAGCTTAAAGTTCTAAATCACCTGGGCCACTACTGGAGGATATTTTTCTGCTATTTAAGATACTCATGGGGCCCAAAATAAATAATAGAAAAAAATGACAAAGATGATCATATTTTTTAAGTTAAAGAATGGATGGAAATAGGAAAAAGGAAGACCTACAAATAATGTTTTAAAACTACTTGCATTGCATGATTTAAAGACAGTTCTTGCAAGTAAAAACAAAACAATTCAAAAAGTAGACAAAACATGACGAGTTAACTAAAAATACACGACAAGAAAGTATGGCTAACTTCACCCATACTTGAAATGCAAATCAAGGAAAAATTCTGTTTCTCAACTATGTATGTCTGGCGAAGATTTTTTAAAATTCAGTAATATATTACGGCAAAGAAATAAGGGGAAAATCACTATCATGAATGACTGTAAAAGTCTAAAGTAGTTAATACAACAAAATATTATAGAAAAAGTAAAATGTACATATGCTTTGACCTAAAAATTCTACTCCCTGGAAGTTATTTTACAGGTGCATTTAAACAGTGTACAAAGATAACAAAATTTCACTGCAGCACTGTAAGAGTAACAAACTAGAAATAGTCTAAACATCTTTTAACAAAAGACTGGTGAAAAATATTATGTTACTCCTAGGTTCTAAAACATTAATAGTCTTTAAAATGAAAAAAGAAGATAACTACTGGCTAATATGAAAAGATTTTAAGAGCTATTGATTGAAAAAAACAAGGTACAGAATAGCATATGCACCGTATATAGGTATGTATACTATCTATACTATTTAAATTCTATATACATACATCTATTACTTACATGATTATAAATGGCTTAATGTTTTTATAAAAATATTTTAAAATAGCAAGAAAGGTAAACACATACAAATGATACATATAGAAATATAACCAATTCAACTAATTTCTAAACATTATCATTCATATTGAACCAAGATATCAGTTATTAAAACTTTTCCAGTCTAGTAAGCCGATCTAAGCATGATATAGCCTGATATCCATCCTTTTTTCAACAAACTACAAATATTTCCTAGTCCTCAAGTGAAAGTGCTTTATTTTTTACAGCTTATGTATCTTTTTTCCACCTCTAATTGGTCAATTTTTCTCATACTAAGTAACTTTCACTGAGGTTCCCAATAACTTTTCCAAAATTAATGGATAAAAGAAAGGGTTTTTTTTTTTTTTAAACTGATCCATGGTTCTCCCTTTAACCTTATTTGATAAGCAAGCTAACTGGGCATCAGAAGACATGACTCTAAGCTGTGCAAATAACTGAATAGTAATAATAACAAGAGCAACAATAAGTAAGATTTTTAGAGCACTTATTTTGTACCAGATACTGTGCTCTTTTCCTATTTATTAACTCATACAACAATCCTAAAACTAGTTCATATTAGTAACCTTATTTAAGATAAGGAAACCAAAGTACATTAAGGTCAGATGTTAATCTCTTGTAAATGGTCATAGACCCAGAGAATGACTAAGTATTAGTACAGAGTTGCCAAATAAAATGCACGACACCCAGTTTATTTGAATTTCAGGTAAACACAATTTTTTTTTATCAAATGTAGGTCCAAATGCTGCAAGAGAATCATAATTTCTATTTACTAAATCTGGAAACACTAGTTATATATTATGCAAGTTATAACCTCAGTTCCGTCAATTTCTGCATCTGCAATATCACACTATGATTTCTTCTGGTTCTAAAATAAGTTCTGTGGTTTGGGGGGGTTTTCCCTAGCTCTCAAGTTCATTGGCTCTAAAACTCCCTAGAATTACTTAATTCAACATATCTCATGATAATGTTTAGATAAATTAACAACTTCTAACAATACTTCAGAGAATGAATCTTTTAGGTATTCTTTAAGGTACTACACCTTGGTCTCTTGCTTAGCACCACTCTATAAACTCAAATATATTTTTCTTTCAAATATATGTAGATGATATCCAGATTTTAGTTTCCTTCTCCAGCCAGTAATGGGATGGAAAACCTCAAATCTCTAACATCAAAATTAACAAAGCTAACAAAGGATCCCGTCCAAAGGGGAAAGAAAAGCAAAATGGTTCAGTGAGCACCTATACTATAGTATGTCCTTCAGAAGCTTACAATTTAAAGAAGGTATACAAATATGACATAATTAGACAACCAAATAGAATACAAACAGGCTGTGCTTTGCATATTATGCTTAGCTGCAGTTACAAAAATCAGGACCTCTACAGTGCCCAAGTGCTAAGCCAACCCAAACAATATCAGTAAATAAGATCATCCCATTAGCAACTGGGGACTTGAAACAGTCTTCCACCCCAAGGTACCTAGAGTGAAGCCCTAGCAATTACACATGTGTACCACCATAGACGTTATCTAACCCCTGCCATAGCTATTCAGTGAATACAACTGGATGTCTCCTTCAGTTTCCTGGGAGGAAAGCCCTGACCTGAAACTACAGCCACTTGACTAGGACTCATCCCTTCATCCTGACTTTGCCATATCGCTCCTACTGAAAGTTACACTGTGCTTATAACCTACTGCGTCAGATGGAATCATTAACAAAAACAATTTGCCAGACTCATCACCCCAAACCACAATACTATAACGACTGCTAACTACCACTGATTTCTATCATCTCATAAAACCTATTCCCTTAGTGTATTCACTCATTTGGTAATGATTGTTCAAATGTAAGTTTATCATTGTTTTTTGAGCACATTTTTTATTTCTGTTTTCAACAGGAAACAGCCATACTGCCCTACATAAATACAACATACATAAAAATAATAAAACCAGTAAGTGCTATTTTTCTAGTTATTATACATACAACCACTATCCTACCTGTATTTCACTTTTAACAGCCTAAAATCATCTTTGAAATCTATCAATTGCCCCAAGTAGATTATTTTCTTCTGCAAAACAACCCCATAATTCACATTTTCCTCCACTGGGTCTGCAGCCTATCTTTGTCACTTCATATTTGGGCTATGACAGGAAATTTTCCTTCCAGTCTCCTACACTCCTGTAGACCTGCAGTATTTACAGTTATTGTACTTAACAACGGGGTAATTTCCTTAGAAGTAATACAGCATTGTTAGCAAAATCTCCCAAAATATCTCCTTCAGGACATCCACTTCAAAGATTCACTCATTCAGCTTTTTAAATTGCAAAACAGCAACAAAGTCTGAACAAATAAAGCTAGTGAATTTTTGGCCTCATCTTAAATAAAATTGTTAAATAAAATGCAATCCATAAAACAAAAGGACCATATTGTTAAATCTGCATATCTTATCATGTACTTCAATTTTAAGAAGAGACAATACTCATATCAAATTAACAACTAATGTTATAAAGAACAAACCAGGGTTGTTGTTGTTGCTGTTGTTGTTGTTTAACACTTTTTCATTTATCAGCTTAACAAACAAATGACATCTGGTGTATATCTGTAATCCCGGCATACAGGAGGCTGAGGCAGGAGGACTGTTAAATCTGAGCTGTAGGAAGACACTATCTTAAAAAAAAAGGAAAATGATAAAATACCCAGCAAATGTGGACTCTGTGTCCTGCAAATGTTGTCTTCGTGGCAGGTCATCTCTCAAGCTCTCAGCCTGTACATTTTCTCTCACATTTCCTGGAATGTGTCGATAGTCAATGCTGCTGCTGACTTCCAGTGACTTTTGATCTGAACATTTCTTGCCTCCTTCTTGCCCATCAGATCGATGCCATGAGGTTAAACTTTTTTCACTGTTCTCTGCGGGTTTTTGAAAACCACAGTGCAAAGAACCCTGAGCTACTAATGCTGAAGATGAACTAGATGGCTCACAATTTCTGCCCTTACTATGAAATGACTGTTCTTCATCAGAGGGTCTTAAGAACTTTGGTCTTGAGTTTCCAGAAGAGAACTCCTGATTTTGTCTTAGATTGGATTCTCTTCTACATGTTTCTAAAGACCCAGATCTCTTATCTTTTTCATCACCACTAAACTTATCTTTCTTATTCCTACTTGCGGTATCTGTTGTACTACATCTATCCCTTGAACTTTTATATTTTACTAAATCTGACTTTCTACTTTCTTGACTGCTTTGTGCATTATCTGAATACGCTGGTTTCCTCCACCGTTCTCGTCTGCAATCTTCTTTCTTGAATGCAATTTTTTCAGCTTCATCTAATTTTGACTGAAATATTTCCATTGACTACAAAGGAGAAAAACAATATGTCTAAAATTAAGAAAGGCTCAGTGACTTGCCTCCCACACATCATTGTGCCATGACCAACTACCAAGTGGTACACTAAAACTACCCCCCCCAGGTAGAGAGGGACCCATACAGTAATCCTACATCAAAATAAGTACTTTTTTAAAATATGAGCAAACAATGAAAATCTGCCAAATAACAAAAAGATCTCAAGAAGGGAGTCACTTAAACCAAATGCCCTGTACTTACACATACAGAATAGACAGAGATAAAACATTTTTAAATAATCAATTCATACTGGTAGTAAGATTCAAAAAGTTACTATATTGCTAAAACATCAGACTCTCATTTAAAAATACAGTTCAAGAACAAGAAGGATTAATGAAAAACTGTACTTCCAAAAAATGTTCAGATTAAAAAACAAAATTAGCCTGAGAATTCTCTATAACTGAGAAATAATAGTAAATAGATGTAAGATAAAAAGACACACGGACAACTGATTCTATCTAGAGAATCTACCACATATATATCAGTACTTCCAGAAAGAAGCAAGGATTACAGAAGAAAAGCATCAATTAAAAAACATGCCAAGTTTTATATGCATGTGTATACTCTTAAATTTTTTATCAAAAACGAAGCCATCTTCTACCTACTACTTTAACCAGCTTATTTCATAACACTTTTTTGTGTACCATTAAATAATTACCCTAAAAAACGTATATAAGAAAATTTCACCCAGCTGATTTTGCAGATAACAAGGATTCATCTAATAGCCTTGGAGGCTGGGGAGAAGACTTGCACATAAATATTCCTAATTCTTAAATTTCCAAACTCAAAAAAATTTTTATATCCTTCATAAAGATGGAGCAAGGAAAGGAATGCATAAGTGTGAGTATGTACACAGAAAGAGTAGGCTGATAACACACCACTACAAAGGAAAGAAAGTAAGCTGGTTTTAAAATATATACTGATGTGTGCTTTTGATCTAAGCATATTTTCAGCATGTTTGTTTTAACAGCATATGCATACTCTAGCTGGGCACAATGATTCATGTCTACAATACTAGCTACTCACAAGGTAAGCTCAGGAGACAAAAAAATTCACAAGATCCCATCTCAACAAAGAAAAGCTAGATGTGGAGGCACATACTAGTCATCCAGCTACAAAGAAAGCTTAAATAGGAGGTCAATGGTCCAGGCATGCAAAATACCTACAGCAAAGAAGGCTGAAGGTGTAGCTCAAGTGGCAGAGTACCCATCTAGCAAATGCAAGGCCCTGAGTTCAAAACTCCAGTACCACCAAAAAAAAATGCCAAACTCTACAATATATCTAATTGTGCAATATACAAATTTCAACAGTGCTTTCCTGCATTATTTAAATTTTCTCACAATGAGAAAGTGCTATTTTTATGTTAATCACATACTTATTTTGTTTTATATTCATTGTCCATAAAAATGCTGCATAAGTTTACATAAAAATAAGCAGAAAATTACTTTGAAAGTACAGAAATTTAACAATAATTCAAGTTTTCATGGCACAAAACAAAGGAAAAGGCATTTAAATCTTCATATAACTATGAAAACATACATATCTCTTAATAAATTTACTTACCCCATATCTTTCAGCTACAATATCCTCAAAATTTCTATTTTCTTTTTCAGCTTGTTGCTTCATTCTTTGATAAGACTTCCTTAGCCAGCTTAATCCACCATCCTCTACTCCTGAAGCTAAATTCCAAAAATGTACATTAGTTATACTTATGTGGTTATCATAGAATTGATATTTATTGCTCTGTCACTTCTAAAGTATAAAATTTAAGATTTTCTTTTCAAGAAAAGATTTTATTTTCAAGAAAATTCCAATTTAAGAGAATGAGAACAAAAGGATATAATTATAAGAAGATAACATGTATTAACTATTATAAAAAGATATAAACTAGGGAAATGAGAAAAGTTAAAGATCACTTCTAACCAAGATGTCAAGGAAAATTCTATAAAGCAAGTTCAAGAAAATGAGTTAAGATTTTTATTTAAAAAAACAAAAAGATAAAAAGAACATTCCTAGAAATAAATAAGCAATAAAAGTACATACAGGAGAAAAAGATACCTCAGAAGCAACACAAAGAGTAAATCAGGAAGATAATGCTGAAGTGTATGTTAAATTATCCTATTACACTTCTAATTACCATCTATGAACATTTGAAAGCCTTCAATGAACTTTGTCAAGCTACTAGTATTTTCTTCTATACATATCATACTTTTGATCTAGTAAAGAGGAAATCTGATAAATTACTTAAATCAAAATCCTGTTTCTGATTTTCCCAGTCCCAAAGTAGGGCTGCTTTAAGATCACTCTGGCTCTACAGACATTAAAAATGCACACACCCAGCTCCTAAATAATGTTCACAACAGAATAAACTGCAATAATTCAGACCTGAAGACGACCTAAAACAGATTATTACACAGCAGGGAGAATGAAGTCCAACTATCACAATACTCTGGATGAATCTCAAAATCTGGACAAAAGCAGCAGGAGCAAACAAGGATGGAACTGAGTTTTGGTGCTAGAAACCAGCATGGCGGCCACCTCTCTGGTGACAGAGTGGTGACTAGCAGGGTCACAGAGGTGGGTTCTGGGATGTTAATAAAGTTTCTCAAACTGTGTACTGGTGACACTGAGGTCTTTATGAAAATGATCAGTTATCTGTACAATTGTGGCTTACTTACTTTTCTATTTATGTTAAAGTTTAATTTTAAAAAAATTTCCTTAAAGAAAAACAAAAGCAACAAGAAAAACAGGTTTTTTCCAATCCTCAAGTTAATTCTATTCATCTTAATTCTATTCCCTTATTCCAATTCAAGTTTACTAAGCAATCTCTTCTAAAATAGAAGAAATAGAGAAATAAAATAGAGAAAGATGATAACCTTTCTCTACAGGTCTAAAATACTTTGTACTTCAATCTAGATCTTTATTTAATGATTTCATTATCCATTAAAGGCTTATTAACTTTCGTTCTTTTTTTCTTATTTATATAGTCTATGAGTTCAAAATTAGTAACATAACCACTCAAGGAACTTAGCCTAAATATGAAATCTACACAATGGAAAGTAAAAGAAACCCACAACAACAATACCGTTACTACTGTACCAACTACAGTTATTTACTCTACTAAAATGTTGGTGGGCACAGCGAAAAGAACCTGAAGAATAACTACGATACTAACACATTTCAGAGGAAAAAAAATAGCAGAGCAAAAGTAAGACTGCTTTTATTCCTCTGTGCTGCTAATTATGAAGGAAATTTAAGGAGAAAAATTTTCACCTAACTCAGTCATGAGTTAAATCTATAACTGTAGAAATATTTGTGTAATCTAATCAAGTTTAGATGATAACTATATTCTATTTTAATAGTACTGTTAGTTGTCTAATTAGGAATAATACCAACAAAGTATTTTAATATAAAAAAATCACTAAATTTAAAACTTAAAAAGCAAACCAAAATACCTACGTTCAGCACTATGCTCAAACTGAATCAAGCATTTAATGAATATTTAGATTAACATGAAAACTTGTTAACCACAGAAGGACATAAAAGCGTGAGTAAGGCATGGACCAGTCCTCTATGCCAGGATACGATGCATCAAATAAGTACAGTAAATTCACTGGTAGGCAACATTAATAGGTACCTGTATTTCAAATCCATTTTTAATAATGCCAAAAATTAAGAAATGCTTCCAGCAATAATTCAAAGTTATATTTTTATAAACAAAATACAACCAAATTAATCTGGACTATATTACCCACTTCTCTCAGAAAACAAGCTAATATAGAACTAACAATTAAATAAACAGCAGGAGACCTAGGTATTAGTCTTGCTGCTATAACTAAATAGTTGTTAGAGCAAAAAAGACAAAAAAAGTTTCTTTGGATCTTTGCTTCTGCATCTGTTAAATAAGGCATCTGATTAAAGCTACCTCTAAAAATCTTTCCAATTCACAGATTCTAAAAGAGAAAGCCAAAATTACAGAGGGGTTAAAAAAATAGGAAGAGCAAAATCACATTGAAAGGGTCTATAAGCAAGAATTTCTACTAAGCGTATGGTAAGAAATTTAGTCTTCTAAAAAATCTACAGTAAGTAATCCTGACCAGGAATCAGACCTGGGTCTAGAACTACACATAACTATAGACAGGCAAATTACATGGCCACTCCAAGCCTCACTTTCTTGAACTAAAACATTCGGACAATAACATCTACTCTGCTTTCTTCATGTAGTTGCTATGAAAATAATAAATGTGCCATATAAATTCTAACTTATACTAATATTCCCATTACTAAAATATAATTTTAAATAATTTTATATGAGCTCTGAAAATGGTTGACTTACTTTTCTACCTAGTTTATGGTAAGGACAAGAAAAAAATTAATGAATTAATTATTGTAAATGTCATGTCAATCATTACCAAAAAGTTGTTGATAAGACCTTTCCAAAACATTTAATTACAGAACAAGTATTTGATAACATCATCATTACTGAGTGTTTGCTGTACTTCAGATGCTGTGTGAAAAGATTTTCTAATTTAATCTTTACAATAACTATAGCAAGTAGGTGCTATCAGTATTCTCTGTCACAAACTAACAAATTGGATTCGGTAAGGTCCCAGAAAAACGTTCCAAAAATCAAAAAGCAAATAAATGATAATGCCAAATTCTAATCCCAAGTAAACTGACTACAAAATCTGGGTCCTTAACAGCAACACTGTGTGACCTCTTCTCCCTAAATACTAATGCATCCTTAATACTGCTTTAACACTTTTCAGCGCCTAACAGTTTCAGCCCCTCCATGGCCTAAACAAGAATGTAACACTATCTGCAAATGCAGTAATACCTGAAGATCATTTTTTAATACTTAATTTCACCTCTGGGATCTGAGCCTCTGACCAACAGAAGATTTCTGGCCATTTTCCTCCTTCTACATAAATACAACATGGAAAACAGAAGTAGTAAAAGCGTGATATGAAAGGAAGGGAGAAACGCTTTGTAAAAGCTTTAGGTAACATCACTTTCTTCCTAGTGTCTTTGATTCTACTGTTTTTATTAGCTAAAAATACTACTTAAGGCCAAACTCCAGGTCTTCTACATTCAGTCTTCTTATATTTGCTGACTGTAAATATCCAAACAACAGATTTGTCAATTCTTTCCTCAAGATGAATTTATTGGCTGCCCAGTGACATTAGGAAAAGTAAAAGTATGCATTGTAAAATTGGGTTGCACTAACTTACTGCTTCCCTAAGTGTTCTCTCTATAAAACAATATTATTATTATATTATTTCAAGAAGAACTTTATATGACCAAGGTTACTATTACTTTAGCCAATAGAACTATTTCTGCCTATGCTAAAAGAAAAAACTTGTAATTACTAAGCACTTTGATAAAATTGCTAAATAAAAATTATAAAGAAGCCTAAAGGTGGTTCAAATTGGCCTTTATATACACATAAAATAAAAAAGAACTTTAATAAATAGCCAAAAATAAAAATAAATTATATATAAAAATCAAAAAAAAATCTTGCTAATAAATCACAGAGATAAAAGGATAATATCAGAATTTATAATATTATTACATCCTGAGTTAGTTGCAATTAAACTTTTCACTGATTGTCAATATAATGGGCATGTAAGTATTTTTTATATTCTGTATAAAGTATGTTTATGTGACGTTTAAATATTTTGTCTCTATCTGCTGGAAAATATTAGCATTCTCCTAAGATCAATACAAATTTTATGAATCCTGGCAAAATAGGAATTTCTGAGGATATGAAACCACATATTTAATGTTTACACATTATTTTCATAAATTTCAGACAATCATTTTTATATTTTGCTTTAGAATATAACAAATCAAAAGTATTCTTACATCCTTACAGAATTCCTTACAGAATCAAACTTTGTATTAACCCATTTAAAATACAAAGTCACAAATGTAAACATCAAATATAAAAATATTTAATCAATTTTCTCCTAAACATACAATTAAAATAATCTTTCCAGGTACAAATGATTTAAATAAGGCTTCAAAAGACAGGAAATATTTTGTCAATGCTTTGTAATATGCAAAATCAAAGTCATTTTTTTAGGAATATCAACTTATAAGAAACCAAGAAATGCCTATGTGTTGGCACCAAAATATAGGGATACCTTTAGTAACTGACGATACACTACAGTCTTCTGATGGAAGACCTGTCCCACCATCCTTCCAATATGGATTTAATTCTCGTTCCAACAATTTGGACTAGAACAAAACATTTTCAGAGGTTAGAATGCAAAGACAAATCTACCACAAAAACTATTACTAAATAATAAATCTGAGGCCTGGTTAACAATAGCTGTAACCTTGAGCAAAACACTTAAAACATTTTTAAGACACATTGTTTTGTAACTTGCAGTAAGTACAGTCATTCAATGTACTTACTGAATACCTACCATGTCTCCAAACTGTGTTAGATGGAGAAGATATAACTGTCAATAAAACTGACTCGGCCCTTACTAGCTTATGATATAGTGAGGAATACAGACAATAAATAACTTACACATGTTCTAAACATAGAAATAACGAATACTAAAGCCACATGAAAAATTCAAACTTTTCTCACACTAAAGGATCAAAGATTTCATAGAAGAAGTAATTATGTGTAGTCTTAGACATACAGATGAGCAGAATTGGCCTAATTTTCTTTTTTCCAGGAAGCAGGGGTAAAGAACATAAACACATTCCAGCTTGTTCATCAAAACTTAGAGAAAAAAAAAAAAAGCACAATGCTTTTAGGGAAGTTAATTCAGACTGGCTAAAGTTAGAAATGTAAATCAGTGTGGCAATGAGATTAGGTTGCAGAGTAACCATGGTCTAAGTCTTCTGAGCCTTTCTGAACTGCTGCTGAGGTTTTATGCTGGGGATGTGACTCATGAAAATGATCAGTTCTGTATGACACTAAGAGCAAACTGGTCTCACCATGGAGGAAATACTAGAGAAGAGCAAGAAAAAAGGTATAGATTCAGTTAGACGATTGTACAGAAACTTCCAAGAACAAAATTTCATGAAAAGTTAATGTAAAGAGATAAACAAAATTGTCAGTCCTTAGGATTTGATTTTAGAATAGTTTGCAGCAAAAAAGGTTCTGTCACTTCCCTTGTTAGTTTATTCCAAAATCTCTCAGTATCTATAATCAAGGAATTTCTTCCAATGGTCCTATCCAGAGATACACATCAAGTATTCAACAGGATTAAAAACAACAAAAAAGGTCAGAATTACACTAAAGAGGACAATTCACAAGACAGTAGACAAACTATGAGATACTATCTGAGAATGTACAAAACCCAAAGGACTGAATATATAAAGAACTTCTACAAATTAGTAAGAAAAAAAGGCAAATACCTCTAGTAGAAAAGTAAGCAAAAACCATAAACAAGCAGTTCACACCACCTGATACTGAATGACCAAAAAATAACAATCAAACTCTCTCCCTTTCGCTCATCCCCCTCCCTCTCTGTCCTTCCGCCCCCTCTCTGGCAGTAGTGGGGATTAAACTCTGGGCCTCTTGACCTACATCAGTCCAGTAATTGGATAAATGCTCATAAAAACAATGAGTACCTTACTCACCCATTAATTAGTCTTATAAAAATTTAAGTTGGACAATGACATATAACAAATATTAAAATAGAAAAATAGTAGACTGGGGACATGGCTCAAGTGGAAGACAGCTTGCCTATCAAGCACAGGCAAGGAAAGAAAGAAAAGAGAGAAAAACTTTGCTGAAGCTATATAAATTGTTATAATCTCTTAGCAAGTAATTGCAAAAGAAGAATATGCTCTATAACTGAGCCATTTAAACTGCACCATAGAGAAATTTGTACATTGGCATGAGAAAATACATATGAGGTCCTTCAATGTAGCACTGTTTCTGACAGTGTGTAAACCAGTAAACAAAATAAATGCCCAAAAGTAAAGAAAGGGATTTTTACAGGATGGCATAGTTAGATGATGAAAGGCTATATGGCAATTAAAAAGAATGAAATAAAAATAAAGTATGTCCACATGAATACGTCTACATGTTCAGCCCTTTAGTCAAAATGGTTTTTTAAGGTTCTCCTTGCTCAGAACAAACAGAAAAGATATACATAATATGAAAATTAGTTACTAGACTTCAAAACAAGGTAAGTATCTCTGTGGACCACAAACAAAACAGAAATGCCAAACACAATGCAGGACTGAAGCCATATGCCTAATGAGCTTTACATATGCAAGCTAAAGGTGACAGTTCTGAGTTCAACTTGGGGTGGCATTTTATTCCTGCCACAAACTCTGCTTCCTGTCTGCCATGTGTATGCTCTGCCACACCTTCCCCACCACAAAGGACTGACATGTCTGAGACAGTGAGCCAAAATAAGTCTTTCCTCCCTTAAACTGTTTATGCCAAGCACTCTCACAGCTATGCAAGAGCAGCAAATACAGAAATTTGGTAAGAGAAGCGGGGCATGAAAATGACTAAATCTGACCATGTGGTTCCTGGGCCTTTGAATAGGTTTACAGGAGAAATCTGGAAGCGTTTGGAGATGTGGCTAGAGGAGCCCTAGAGCTGGAAGCAGAGCTTAATGAGCAATTCTGGTGGAAGGTCAGAAATCCAGAATGCAACAACAAAGACCATGTGAACAAGGACCGTACTGGGAATTGGAGAAGAGGCCAATCTAGCAAACAACTTGTGTGCGTTTTGTCTGTGTCCTGAGATTTCAAACAAGACTCAGTTTAAAGGTGACAGACTTTTGGTGAAGGAAGTTTTCAAGATAATGCAGCATTCAGGTTGTGGCATGGTCACTGCTGGCTGCTTTCAGCCAGATTTATATAAGAATAAGGAACAAAAGAAAGAGCAGGATTTGAAAAACATTCAGTCTGGCAGAAAAAGATTAGGTTGAAAGTTGCAGGCAACAAGTGAATCCAGTCCAAGAGAGAGGCCAGGTGGGGTGCAAATGGCAAGGCCATAGGTATGAGGCTGCCCACATGCATTGGACCTCATGTTATGCAACCACAGTGTATCTCAGATTCCATTCATGGAGCTACAGGATTTAACATTTGCCTTCCGAGGTTTCATCTTGCTTCAGTCCTGTTCCCCCTTTCTATGTCCCCATTCCTCCTTTTAGAATGGGAATGTCTACATTGTTTTGTTTTTTGTTTTGTTTTACAGGAGCTCATAGCTAAGAGTTGCCTTGAGTCTCAGATCGCAGAGGAAATTTTAAACAGTGTTGGAACTGTTAAGACCATGGGACCTCTTGGAGATGGACTAAATGCATTTGCATTATAAGATGGCCACAAGCCTTTGGGAGCCAGGGCAGAATGCTATGGTTTGTGACATACTTGTGCGACGTGAACCAACTCCTAAACTTCATACGGCTCCTTTTCCTTCCTCCACTATTCACTGGTTATCCCCATTGCCAAATATACCTTCTGTTCCTTCTATTAATTCAGTGAGCTCTAACTCCTTCAGGTCTAATTCGGAGACATTATATTCACTCTAAAAATCATGCCTTTAGTGTTCCACATTGCTACCTGCTTAATTATATACCAATATAATTTTCCACATGTAAATTTTCAGAATTAAAATTAGAGACAGAAAATGCCATTGATAATAGGATTTCTGTGATCACTCTTTCCTATTTTTTCACTTGATCCTGTATACCATATTTAAGGTAAATTCTTTTTTTGTGTGTGTATGTTCCTAGGGCTTGAACTCAGGGCCTCATGCTTGCTAGGCAGGTACTCTACCATTTGAGCCATGATCCAGCCCTTTTTGCTTTTAGTTATTTTTTGGATAGGGTGTCAGTCAACATATTTTGCCCAGGCCAGCATAGACCATGATCCTCTTGTATGAGGCTCCCATGGACCTGGGATGACAGGCACATCACACCATTCCCAGCTTACTGTTTTTCATGGGGTTTAGCTAACTTTTTGACCAGGCTGGCCTTGAAACATGATCCTCCCAATCTCCACTTCTAGAGTAACTAGGATTACAGGAATGAGCCACTGCAATTGGCCTCAAGATAAATTCTTAAAGACTGTTTATCTCCTTAGTCGTAGCCAATCCATTAACCTATCTATTGAGTTTCTAACTTTATTATATTTTTCATTTCTAGAAGTGCTTCTTAAATCTGCCTCCTTCATAAGATTTTATTCCTTACTCACAAATTTTCTATGCCTGGTATTGGGCAAGTAAATAGTTCAACTGATAAAGGTTTTACATACCTGATTCTACTGTTTATTGTTTCACCAGTAAACACCAGTGGTTACTTCTGCCAAGCAGTTCAAGATGCTATCAATTCATACTTTTAAATAACTCGCCTTAAATACTTTCAGACCATCAAGTAGTATGAATTCGAGTCAAACCCTTATGAATCAAGCTATAAGCCACTGGAGCAGCAGCTAGCGTCTTCATATTCCCTGCTGAAATTTTACCCTCTCCACTATACAAGATGCAGGACAAGACAAGACATTTTTCTTGCCTTCAAATGGATTTTTCAAGTTCATCCTTTCATTAAGGATATATTCCTGTGGACTCCAGATTTATAAGGGATTATCAATCAAACATTTACACTGCATACAGGCACTTGCCTTTGCTGCTATCCCTAAGCATCCCTTCAAACTGAAAGTCTAGACTACCAGGATTATGTAATGTCTCCGGGAAAGCCACTTTCCTTACTTTCTGAATTCATGCGTTTTCTTTGAGCTTCTTGTTGATGTTGTTGTTTTTGTTTGGTTTGGTTTTGCCCCTAAAGATTTCCCATTGTTTTCTTGTCAACACAGTGAAAACAATAAAAAAATAAAATAAGCATGTTTATTTTATATTTTATCCAGAATTTTTAGGTATCTTGAAATAGAAGCATTTTATGGTACTTAATTCAACATATTACACTGGAAAAGAAATTGAGAAATTTAGTTTTAATTCAATGATGGTAACATACACTCAATATTCACTCACCATATACGGTATGTATATAGTATACCTTTAATCTCATTTCCTATAGAAACTTATTTTAAAAAAAAAAACTTATATCACAGTTCATAGCTATCCTCAGAAATTTTATTAAATACCAAGAAAGATAAAGTATTTTACAAGTAAAATTGCATTCACACAAATGTCTGATCAGTTTCTTAAGACAAATTAGAAAGTTAAGGCAGTTAAAATACTCTTACCCATTCAAGTGCTTCAGTTTTCTCTTGCTCTATTTTCCTCATAGCCGCCTTTTCAGCTTTCAGTGATGATGATGACACAGTTTTAGCAGACATAAAATCAACATTCATCCACTCATCCCTCTGTTAAACAAAAAAAGGAGGCCATTTCAACCTGAACTGATCAGGCCTTATTAAGAGAAGGGATCTTGGAGGCACTCAAACCAGTATCAAATCCTACATGGCTATATGTATGACCTTAAGCAAGTTTCTTATACCCTCTATACCTCTGTCTCTCCCTTATTTAATGGGATTAAATGCTATCTATCAGAGTTGTTTAAAGGACTAAACAAGTTAACAAGTATGAGGTGTCCAGCCCAGTGAATAGTACATAACAATCAAACATTAGTTCCTTCCACCTTTCTTCCTTCGTCTGTGCTAAGAGTAGACAAATTACATTTTTTCTTAGGCACATGAACCATAACCCAAAATCTGTGAACTATTCAACTGTAACTATGGCCAAAAAAGTTATGCCACAAGGTGAAAAGAAAAGAAAAACTGAGATGGAAATCTACCCACATACAAGGGTCAAACAGTATACACCTACATCACATAAGGGGCAAGTGTCACTTCTCTAAAAACAACCAGGAAACCTCTAAGGAGCTGGAAAAGAGATGAGCACTCACCTTCTCACAGCCAGAGGAGAAGGGGAATCTGAGTGCTCAGTAAGTAACATTACTGCCAAAATTATTTATAAACTATGTTGCTTTTAAAGTCTAATTTTTCTCCTGAAAAAATTAATCATCTTTCATTTTAACATTCATTTATCCTTAGAAGTTCACTTATTCTTTCTTTAAAATCAGTGGCTTATTTACCTGAATAACTTGACCATCAACTTCTTTTTCTGATTTTTCATCTTTTACTTTCCAGGCCTTCTCCTTGGCAGGAACCTGGAATGGAGCAGCCTCAACCCACTCATCTTCAGAGCTCTAAGAACATTTAGCATATAAGTGAATTTTTGCATACTTTCATATAAAATTTCCATATGTTGTTAAGTGAACATAACTCAGCTCCCTAGATAAAACTCTTACATTGCATTTCCCCTTTAAAAAATGACCTTGAAAATTAAAAAAAATAAAGACCCACTATTTTGAATTAAGCCCATAAACACAACCAAATTCTTTCTATTTTCTTATCAGTTGTACCATGGAGCAACAGAAAAGCAAAAAAAAAAACAAGAGAGAGAACTGCCTCACTTCTCACCAAATTAAGTAGTGCTCATGGCTTTGCGTCACTAGAAACAGAGAAAATGGCCCCAAGTGATGAATGAGTTTGCTGTTTGCCCCTAAGTTTCAGATTTTGAGATTTCCCTATACCTAAAAATGAAGACATCCTAAGTAACAGCGAGGCTGGTGAGGCATTTTAGTTACTATGTTTAAAGGCCAGATTATTAAATCAACTAAGAAGTACTTATTCAACATCCCCTATGTAAGGATCATTATGACAAATTTGGGATTCTTTTCAACAAGTGGATCAATCTACTTTTCTGTGTCAAGGGTATATTAAATACTTTCACATATAATTATCACAATGAATCCTTAAAATTACTTTAGAAAGTATTATTTTGATTTTACAGATGAGGAAAACCTCCATAAAATCAGGAGATTTGCCCAAGTTACATGTTACCCAAGTGTAAGAACCAGGAGAGTATTTTGGATCTGTCTGGTTCTAAAATCTATGCTTGTACAGCCATTGAATTTAAATATAGGAAAGATCCTAGAAATTGCCCTGTGCAACCACCTGCTAATGTACAGTTGAGAAACTTGGCAGAGGGGAATGAGTGACTAGCAAGGTAGACATTAAAATCTGAACTTCTTGAATGAGAATAGTATCCTTTCACTCTGTGAAGTTCTTGAAAATTACCAAAACATGTTTTTTAAACTGGAGAACACAAACATGTCTGCCAAAAGATAAAATCCACATGGAGTAAACATATTTATGCTATGCCACCTCAATAGCCAACTGTTTGTCAGACAAAAGCAGACTTTACTCATTCATTCCATTTAGGCCTTGATTTGAGTTCACAGAAACCCAAGAACTTACTTATAGTCATAATTACAATTTTTAAGATAATCACTGTATACATATTTGTGGCCTACTCAGGTTTATATCACCAAATCAGTTTAGAGAGATCAGGTTCCTAATTCTTGATGTCATCCACTAAAATAAGATTTATAGTCTAAAAAAATCTGCACCTCCTTTAGGAAGGAGCATCAACTTGCTAAGATCAAACTAAAAGTTATAAAGTTTGTGTCCCACAGTATTCTTCATAGACCTTCTATATTTATGGGTTTTCTTTTACTTATTAGATGCTGAGCAACCACTTGAAATTCACTAACTAGAACCATCAGGTGCTTCATCAGCACACTGCAACCAATCTTCAACTCGAGTTAATCCAGTCATATGATCTGAAAATTTAGCTGAACTAGACTCTCACCCCAAACTACAATTCTCCTTACTGACCTTTGGTCAGTTCTGTCTTGTATTCCCTTACTTACTCTCCTTTGAAACACTCATCATTTTTGCATTTATTTTATGACCATTTGATTACAGTCTCATAGGTAGTAAGTTCCATAAGGACAGGAACCACATTTGCCTTTGCCTCCCTCACATTCCTAAGAACCTACCATAATATATAGAAGATAACATTATCTTCTTCAGTACTCTACTCAAGCTTTCTACCAACTCTCATTCCCCATACTCTCAGCAAGGGGTTTCTCCTCTTACCTCATCAAGCAGAAATGGGCAAGTTTAGCTTCCTGCCTACTCTCCAACAAAATTATTGCAACAGTAAAATTAACCTCATGGTAGCCTGAACTGTTTAAGGCAGGTTCTCCTTCAAAGATTTTGGTCCCAATCATTCCTGTCCTTCCAGAACCTTACTCCATCAGTTATCTTTCTCTTATGCTGCAAACAAAGATCTCTAATGCCCTAGAAATATGCTACATTATTTCTCATCCCCCAATCTTTGGAGGAAGGAGGACCTTCCTTGACCCTATGCATCTCTCTAGCAGCAATTCATCTACCAGCTTCCATTCTAAGACAATCTTATTAAAAGAGAAGTCTATGTCCACTGTCCTCACCCTCTCACTTTCAAGCATTTCTCAAAAATAGCTACTGTCCCCATTAATCCACTGAGAACTCTTCAAAATTAATCAATGGCTTCCACTTCACCAAACTCAAGAAAATGCTTCAGTCTTTATCTCCCTAAACCCCTCTATTAAGTACAACTCCCTTGCTGACTCATTTTCTTAACTTCCAAAATACTTCCCACTTTTCTCCTACTCTTTTTTGTTCTGAACTTTGGTATTTTTTTTTAATTATCTTAACATTCTGTATACTGACACACAGAAATGAAAGTAAAATGTGAATCCTTCATAATTTTATACATTTATCTAAACATCAGTGAAAATCACCAACTACTATGAATGCAGGAAAACATATCGCAAAAGAACCAAAAAAATAGAAAAACATCTCATAAAAAGTATGTCCAACTATGAAAAGAAGTGCTTCTTTAGTGTCTTCACATTCTTCTTTTCTTTGTACTTATGTACAATGCATTGTTTTCTTGGGTAAGTGCACCCTGCCTTATTCTTCAGCTGTCTATTTACAATTCTTCTGTCTGCTCCTGGGCTATCCTCATATAGCCATTGATAATTCACTCCAGAATTTAATTTTACCACACTGGTCATCCGATAATTTGTTTTAAGAAGTCACCAGATGGGGCTGCTTCCACAACCTCACTTTAACAATCTTGGGAGGCAGGAAACCTGAGTTCTAATCCCAGCTCTGCAACTTAATTAGCTGTGTGACTTGGTAACTCTTCATTTCATCTCCCAAGGCCCCAGGTTCATCACATAGCCAAGACTCAGAACTTCTAGTCCAGGTACCTCACAAGCCTGGCCTCCCCATATAATCAGAGAGACAGACTTCCTGCACTGTCCTTCCCTTGCTCAGTCCTTAAATATTCATGTTGTTTGGTTTTCAATTTTTTGGCCACTATATTTGTTACTCTCTGAACTTCTCTTTTGGCCCATAAATCCAGCCTTGTGGTTTGAACTACCGCCAACTGGGTAAATGTCTTTCAAATTTGTCAAACCAATATTTTCATGATTTAATAATCTATCTACTATACCTGGATGTCATACTCAAGAACAAAAATGAATCTACCATCTTCTTCTATAAAACCTGTCCCTCCTACTATATTACTGAACTGAGTTACCTGGTACTATCAACCACCTACATCAGAAATTTCAGAATTATACTATCCCACTCATCCAAATATACTGTTTTTGACTCCAAAATATTTATCAGCTAGACCATATAGCAAATACCACAACTGACATGGGAGCCAACCTCCATCCCTGGCTACAGGTAATTAGTTCAAAGGTTAAGTACCTGATCCAATTCATATTGATTAAGTTATTCTCAGTGAATTAGAAATCAAGTCCAAGGAACTGATGTAAAACTAAGCAAAAGTGGAAAGGTATTTGAAGGGCTATTTCTGTCACGAAAAATGAGTGGAATTCAGCAAAAATTGACCTATATCAAGAAAAAAGAGGACTCTGGAGAAAAAAATTACAAGACTATTAAAAGCTTTCATAATTATAATTTCAGCTATTCCTGAAGTCAATTAATTCTTTTACCCAGATGCCTTATAAGATTTTTGTACACAAATAAAATACCCTTTCCTCTTCTTTTTTCTTTTTTCTTTATACATAACTGGTATTTGACATCAGGACCCCCTGCTTGGTAGGCAGGCTCAACACCACTTGAGTTACACCCCAGCCCTATAAGGATAATGAAAGAGCAGTATGAGAAAGGCCTTGGTCCCAAAAGACCACAGTATCCCTAGACTGCCTATTTAATTTCTTTCATATGAGAGAAAAAAATAACTTCATCTTGTTAAACATCAACAACTATCCTGAGAGTTTGCTAATAAATGCAGCTGAATCTAAGTAGATGATATACTTCCTGCTGAATAAAGTCAAAGCATTTGGTTTACAAAGCCCTATCAACTTCTTAATTTCATCTTTACTCACTCGCCCTCATTTTGTGCATAATTTTAATGAATTTTAAAATTAAAAATTTTAAAGCCATACACAGCTACCACAGTGGATATTGCAAAAAAAATGTGATTAAAAAAGGAAGAAATTAATAGGCTAGATTAAAAGCAAGTTCTACATATATATTGTCTGCAAGATATATATCTTCAATACAAAAGAAACAAGATATTTAGGACTAAAAGAAAAGAAACAGGTATAACATGAAAAAATGAAAAAAAAATTTTTAAGAGTTCATTAATATAAGACAAAACAGACTTTACACCAAAGAAATTACCAGAAATAGAGGAATACTTCAAATTAATATCGTAGTCAATTCATATTTAACAATCCTAAATTTTTGTGTATGTACATAACTAATAAAGCTTCAAAATTCACACAGCAAAAACTAACAAAACTGAAAGCAGAAACATGTAAGCCAGCAAATGCACTTACAGATTTCAACACCAATCTTACAGTAGCAGATAGAGCAGGTAAACAGAAAATAAACAAGAATGCAGGAAACTTAACACTGTTAATCACGTTTTCTTCTTTAACACTGATAGAACACAACAACTAATAACAGCAGAATATACATTCACTCCAAGTACATAGAATTTACACCAAAATAGAACAGACTAGGCCATAAAATAAGTCTCAATAATTTCTAAATTACAATTATACAAGATCTGTCCTATAACAATACCAGAATTAAAGTAAAACAACAAAGATAACTGATCAAAACCAACAAATATCTGAAAATTCCAAAATTCACAGAGATAATTCATGAGGGGAAAAAAAGGGAAATTTTAAGATATCTTAATGAGATAACGAAAATATAACACATCAAAATGTGTTAGGTGGAAACTTAGCAGTTCAAAGAAGAAAACCTACAGATTATTTTAAATACTTGTTAGAAAATAAGGAAGATTTAGTATCAATTACATAGGAAATGAAATTTAATTTCTAAAAAATTCCATTTACAATAACATACCAAGAAAAATTAACAAAAGATATGTAAGACCTCTGCTACGAAAATTTCAGAACACTGTAAGGAAATTAAAGATGACTTAAATAGATAGAAAAATGTACCATAAGCATTTGTGATTGGAAGACTCAATATCTTAAGATGTCAAAATTACACTGACAAATTCTTCATAATTTTTCACTCTTCTGACTCTACTAAGCCCTTGCTCCTCCCTCACTCTCCCTTCAAAACACTCAAATCATCTCTGCATAAATTGGAATGGAGCTCAGCAATTGCCCCTTCTATAAGCAATTAATAAATAAAACCTGTTTTCAGCACTTTATTATACAGCTATGTTTATTTTTGACAGTATACTGCCAAAAATTTAATTTCCAAAAGTTCAGATGGACCAAATTTTGGACTATGGTAATTCAAACTGGGAGGATAACCCTATGAAAATCATTCACAGAAGATCATTTTAAGAAGACCAACTATCCTTAAACATGTCTAGGTAATTAACTCTCTAAGAACAAACTCTTTCTTCCTGAAAATAAGCATGAAGAATTAGCTTACTTTCCTTTCCTATCTTGCATCCTCATAGCCTGGAACTGGCTACAGACATATGGCCCAACACTCTCTTCCTTTGACCCAACAATATAATATAGAAAAAAATCCTACTTTTGATGCTTAAATGTTCATTTCAAGGCTGGCAGAGTGGCTCAAGTGTTACGAGCTCCTGCCTAGCAAATGTGAGGCCCCAGTGCAGCCAAAAAAAAAAAAAAAGTTATTAATTTCTGTGAAAAAACAGGAAACAGACTGAAATGTCTTGAAAATTTTCCCCTATCTTTATAATACTGATCTTCCCTGTATTTCCTTCTAATTTTCTAGCTACTTGAGTACAAGTACCATCCATTACTTTTATCTGGCTCTTCAGTGTTGATATTCATCTTTCTTTTCAATTTCCCTAGGTATTTCCTCCATTCTAATGGCCATAACTAGCAATGATTCTAAAATCATATTTCCATCTTTCTTTCTCTGGAACCCACAGTCTACATTTCTAAAATTTATATCTCAAAGTAGATGTCTTCCAGATATTTTCATACCATAACTGGCAATATTTTTTAAGTTCTCTGTATTTTAAGTCCCCATATTTTATTCCTTTAAATAAAATTTTCTCAAACAGCTGCTTTGGCTACTTACTGATGAACTATCAGTTGACTCATTGGTTTTTTCATATTTCTGTTTCTTGCTCTTTTTTTTCTTCTCTTTCTTTACTTTTTTTGAATGTTTTTCTTTTTTCTTCTTTTTCTTTACAGAATGTTCCTATAAATGATAATTTTGAGCAAGTAAGAAAGGAATTTAGTTTTATTCTACTTAAAAGAGAGAAAAAAAATCTATATTCAAAAAAAGTTTAAATCTTTTATGAAAAGAGACCAAGATTATGACTAAATACATAAAATCTTCCAAGAAACATTAACATACTTTCCATAAGCTAGGCACCTCTAATAAATGATACAGCTTAGATTTCCTGCCAGAAAATTATGAGGAAATTTTTTATTTTAACTTCTTTACAGATTCATATGATAGACAAATACTATCAAATACATATATATATACCCATATAAATATGTGTGCATAAATGTAAACATTCACACAAATATACACACACATATAATATCTCCCCATGATCTCCCAAATATTTATACAAGATTATTAGGTCATAAGATATATAATAAGATAACATGAATAAAAATTGTAAGAAGCTGGATAAGTGAAGAAAGAAGGGAAGGAACCAGGAAAAGAAAAAGGAAGATATTGATCAAATGACACAAGGTCCAGTTAGAAGGAGTAAGTTTTAATGATCTACTGCACGATATGCTAACCACAACTAATAATGCACTGTGTATTTCAAAATTGCTAAAACAGTACGTTTTTAATATTCTCACAAAAAATAAGTTAGTGAGGTGAAATATGTTAGTTTGACTGAATCTTTCTATAATGTATACAGACAATAACATCATATACTCCATAAAAATAAACAATTATTATTTATGAATTAAAACTAAATTTTAATGCAGTTGTAAGAAGCAAAAACAAGGCTTGAAGTCTTAAAAAGTAAATAAAACTTAAATGTATACTTTTAGATATATACACTTGCCACAAATGAACCAAAAATTTGAAGCTAAATCTTTCTCTAGCCAACACAAGCAACAAAATCTCTCAGTGTCACTATGTCCACAATAATACAATATTGCCAGAGAGATAATGTGAACTACATGATATTCATTCCATAACTTATGAAAACGGCATAAAATTGTTCTCTCAATACTAACTTTATTAGTGTCAAAAAAGGTAAGTATCTTAAGGTACACTGTAAGCACAGAGGAAAGGTCACAATGAATCCCCCCGGTACAACTAATATATGCTAATAAAAATGATTTTTAAAAAATGATAAGGTATCATTACATCAAACATACTTGTTAATACTCACCTGAGAGAATTGTTCAATTCGCTCATTCACATCAGGTAGCATCCATGTATCCTCACCCCGAAGTCGTTTAAGTTCTTTATGCCTTTCTTCTTTTTCAAAATTGGCTTTGGCCTATAACAACATAAAAAAGCAAGTTGCTTTTCAAAAACGGAAAACAAAAACTGCTACCACTTTCATATGAAGGTACCTACTCATGAATATATGGTCTATTCCTGCCAGGAATTTGCTTCTACTAGTAGAGGAAAGATTTTTAAAAAGCAAACTCTTTCCTTTAACATTACTGATCTCCAGTGATTGAAAAAATAATTACAGATAGAATCCTGGGCTCTCCACTCTCCCTATCTCAAGTATGACTTGGAGTCCCTTTTCCCTTCACACCATTCCAGTGTACTGCTTTAGACTTTTCCAACAACTAGGGGACTGGTCTTCATGCCTTCAGCAGGCAATATTTGTGCCTCAATACCCAGCCCCCAAAAATGCATCAGGAAAAATCTTCTTTACAAAAAGAAATGATTCTATGGCTAATTTCTATTAATCCTTCCAAATAGTCAAAGGCTGGGTTTGGTCCTTCTGTAACTCTATGCACACTCTCTACTATAAAATTTATCACAGATTACAAACACTACTCCCTCCAAAACAACAGCTTGAAATACCAAAGAACTAAGAATACAGAATATTCATTGTACATATGATTAAATTAGGGAACATTATCAACTCTTCACTTGTCCAAGTCTAATTGCCCACTCTTCCACCTTTAAAATCTGACTGTAGCCATGACCCCTTCCTCTTGTCTCCTCCATCTCTGCCTTCTTTTTTTTTTTTTGCAGTACTGGGGTTTGTACTCAGGGATTCCTCCTTCAACCACTCCACCCGCCCTATTTTTGTGAAGGGTTTTTTTCCAGATAGGTTCTTGTAAACTATTTGCCCCGTCTGGCTTCCAACCGCCATCCTCCTGATCTCTGTCTCCTGAGTAGCTAGGATTACAGGCCTGAGCCACCGGCACCTGGCTCTACTGACACCTTGTATGTACGCATTTCAGCTTGCTTAGAATTATTACATCTGAAAACAAAAAAATCCTCACTGGTCCGGGGGATAGAAATGCCAAGAATGGACGTCTTAAAAGATAAGGAAACTTGGAGGAAAACAAACAGATATCTCTGAAAAAAAAAGAATAAACAAATGGACCCTGGCAGAGCATTCAGAAGACAAGACACACAAGGGTTCCGGCACTGCAAAAAGGAGACCCCAGCCAGAGAAGGTGAGCTACTGAAGTGGTGAGAGAAGAGGGGCATGGGATGGTTCCCGACAATCCTCAACGCCCACAATTCCCAATAACTACAGAATCTCCAAAACGCACGTACATGACCCAGCACCTCGGCCCTGGCAATCCGGGTCTGTTCTTTACGCTCTGCGATACTCTTCTCACTTTCGAATCTCACACCGGAAGCCGCCATAGTTGTTGTCATCGTAAAGCTAGGACGCCGTCAGGAAATCACAGTTTACGACCGTCGTAATTTAGTAAACAAACCCGGACTTCCGACTAGAGAGAGCGAGGGCGAAGGGCGGTGCTCTACCAACGGAGCATGCGCAAACCCGCTTGACGCTCAGCTTCCTGCTCAGTCCAACATCCGGGTTTGCAGGGAAATTGAAGCGCGCTCGGACAGTTGCTCTCTCTTGTGTGTTGGGTTCTCTTTGAACAGAGCTAATATTAATCAATACAAGTTTACTTTGTGACGAGGCCTTCTTAAAGTTACCAGTGTGAGAAACTCTGAGACATTAAGTCTCACCAAAGTACTCGTGCTCCCCAGACTTCATGTGCTGGAGGAATGGGCTTAAGGGAGGCTGGCAGAAAGAATTTTGCAGACTCAGCGTTTTGCTTTCATGTTTTCTCAAAAAATACGAGATAGCCATGAGAATTTTGCATTGCGCTTCATAATTTATCTGTGCTTATTTAAATTATTAAGTTTACATCACTTTTCCTCTGCTCTCATGGTAGTTGCTCATGTTTATCCATTCAAACGCTTTTCATTGCAATGGACAACTACCTATTTTTATGAGAATCTGTTTTGTTTTATTGTATCTCCCAAACAAAACTAAGCTACATGAAGAATAAGACATTCTAATGTATCTTGTGTTCTGAGAACATAAAACAAAGTTCACGTGTATAATTAAAGAAGGCTGGAGAAAATAATTACAAACTAGATATCTTAAAGACTAAAAATAACTAACATAAGCCAGGTCGAGGTAAATATTCTTTCTTTGGGGGCTTTATGAAATTGAGTGTGTGTGAGAGTAATTAGCTCTCCTGGGAGTTTCTACTCCAGTCCATGAAAGTATTAAGCATGTGATGTATACTAGCTTGATAGTCAATAGATTGTACTCACTTATCACTTATCACAGGAAATTGGATTTTAATTTACTCGTTGATTTTGTAATATTTTTCTAATTTTGTGGTAGTTAGCAAGCATTAAAGTGTTTGCAGTTTCAAGAGAGTCAGAAAAGTATCTTTGCATCAATTTCAGGAGAGATAATAATAATTATAGCAGAAATGTGTTTCAGTCCATTCAAGCTGCTATAACAAAAATATCCTAAGCTGGACGAATTATAAACAGCAAAGATTTCTATCCACAGTTATGGAAACTTAGAAGTCATAGGTTCAGAGTGTCTAATAAATGCTTGGTTTATAGATGCCAGTCTTTTTCTATGTCCCACATGTGGAAGGGGTGAGGGGATTACCCTGGGACCTCTTGTATTAGGGCACTAATCTCATTGATGAGGGTCCTGCCTTTATGACCTAATTATCTCCCAAAGGCCCCTCCTCCAGATAGCCTCAATTTGGGGATTGGGTTTCAATAAAAGAATTTTGGGTAGCACAAATATTCAGTCTTTAGTAATAGGCAAAGTTATATGAAGAAATATTTTAAATCTTACTTAAGCCTCAAAAGTCTAGAACAAAGAGATATACCGTGTGTTTAAAGATGACTTCACATCATTTAAAAATCAATTCATCATAAATTAGTTTTAATATAATGAAATACAAATAAAGTTGCCAATAAAAAAATGTTGAGTCAAAGAGGAGAACTAGACATGTTGAAATACAAAAAGGAAGGAAAAGAAAGCAGTTGAGGTTTTTGTTGGTAGTGGCTATTGGTGGTAGGACTTTTGTTGTTTGTTTTCAGATAGGGTCTTTCTATGCAACTGAGGCTGACCCAGAACTCACTGTGTAGTCAAGGCTAGCCTAAACTCTTGATCCTCCTGCCTCAGCCTCCTGAGTGCTGGGATTGCAGGCATGAGTGACATCTGCTAAGCAAGTTCTTTCAGATAGGTTACCATTTGGCTACACAAAACAAGTTTAATCATATAATTTAGATTTGTAATGTAATAATGTTTGGTACAGTTGCTGAAGAAACATGATTGTTCTCTCTTTCTTCTTTGTCACAATCTGTAACTTTATATAGTTACAAGCAGAGTCACATTCCTCCTGATCAATGCATGACAATGATAACGGGAAAAGAACACAAGATAAAAGGCATATGCCAGCTAATTCCACCCTATATTTTATTAGAAAAATCATGGTATTTCCTAAGGTCTAATCCAGTTTCTCCCATTTAAATGTTAGGAGCCAGAAGCAGTAACATGGCCACAACTAATTACAACAGAGCAGGAAAATTCTGTTAATAGAATGTCAATCAACTTGGGTTCATGTGAGATTTCTTTGTGATTAGATTCAAGTTGGCATCTCAAGCAGCCCCACAGAAGTGGGATTGTCTTCTTACTTCATCCTGTTGATAGCTCTGCTCCATCACTGGTGCATCACTGAGCATTTTTACATAAAGTAGTGTCTGTCAAGCTTCTCCACTATAATAAGTATTTTGTAAAGCAGATCTTGGAATTATGTAATTTCTATATCAATTTTTCAAATTATGCACTTATTTTTATATGATATGGACTTATTGTTGCTCAGTGGATTCCTAATTTTTGCTAAGTAAGATAAGTTATTGGTATTTATCTGATGCTTGAATTGTTCCTGGCTTAAGCAGTGAGAGCCCCTTAAAGAGGATTTCTGTGTCTTGTAGACATGCATTCTCACTTTCTATTACAAGAAGATTGAAGCTTGTTGTGTCTACCTAAACCTAGAATGAGTCTTTTCCCTAAGAATCATGGGTTCATTTTTGTTGAAAGTGGTATTAGAAGCTGTCAAGTAAAAAAGGAAATCCAGATTTAAATAAAGAAAGTATTTACTCAAAAAGACTTGCAGCCAGGCGCCAGTGGCTCATGCCTGTAATCCTAGCTACTCAGAAGGCAGAGATCAGGAGGATTGCAGTTTGAAGCCAACATAAGCAAATAGTCCCTGAGACCCTATCTCAAAAAAAACCCATCACAGAAAATGGCTGGTGGAGTGGCTCAAGGTGTAGGCCCTGAGTTCAAGCCCCAGTACCACACAAAAAAAAGACTTGCAATGGTGGGGACGGAGATCATTGCAATAGGGAGAATATTCAGAAACTAATGACTGTAAAGGTCTTAATGATTAGGAAGAAAGTATGTTTTTTTTTTTATTCACATGTGCATACAAGGCTTGGGTCATTTCTCCCCCCTGCCCCCACCCCCTCCCTTACCACCCACTCTGCCCCCTCCCTCTTCCCCCTACCCCCTCAATACCCAGCAGAAACTATTTGCCCTTATATTCTAATTTGTGTAGAGAGAGTAAAGCCATAATAGAAGACAAGGTTTTCACTGGTTGAGTAAGGATAGTATACAGGGAGTGACTAACATTAATTTCCTATGCATGTGTTTACTTCTAGATTAGTCTTTTTTGATTCACCTTTCTCTAGTTCCTGGTCCCCTTTTCCTATTGGGCTCAGTTGCTTTTAAGGTATCTGCTTTAGTTTCTCTGCGTTAAGGGCAACAAATGCTAGCTAATTTTTTAGGTGTCTTATTGATCCTCACCCCTCCCTTGTGTGCTCTCGCTTTTATCATGTGAAGAAAGCATGTTTCTTATACAAAAAGGAGTAAACAAGGCTAGAAATACCAGGTTTGAGGGAGTGGGGTGAAAAGGCAGTGTGACAGTTTCCTAGAACATAGTGATAACAGTCAATTCATAGAGACAAAAGGGAAGGCATATTTCTTGATAGTTAACTGTTTTCTAGGAGCCCAGGTCCTCTCAATGAGCAGAGATAGGACAACAAATACATAGATACAGATAATAATATAGATGCACATAACTCTTTGTTTCTATTTCTGTCTTTCTGTATTGAAGGCTATATAGTTTAAAACCAATTTGAGAAAAGTTGTGTTGAATTATAGTTTTTATTGTTTGTTCCATTTCTTACTCTTAGATTTCTTTTGTATCTTCCTTGACTCTCACACATAACCATCACTTTCAGCTCCTTTTTATTCCCTTTATCATTTCTGTTTAATTTTTCCCCTTTTCTCATTTTCATCCTCTGTTTTCATTATGGTATTTTCCATATTAATCTCTTTCTGAAATCTTATCATTTCTCTGATTTCTAATTTTCTTCCAAGTTCTTTAAGCATCCTTGTATGTATTCTAGTTTCTAGTCATCTCACTTAGGAGCTTTACTCATTTTGATGTATACATAGTTTTATGACAACTGTTATTTCCAACAGCACAGTTTGAAATACTGGACTACAAAATGTGGCTTCTGTGTTTTAGCCATTTCTTTCTCATTTTTCTATATATGCATCATCTGGCACCTTTTCTCCCACCTTTACTTAAAGAGTTCTTGCTCTTTTCAGTGCGTGTTCTATTCCTAGAAGTTCTCCTTTGTATGGCTCTACCTTTCTGGATATTTCTGACGGCTCTGACAGTCAACTTCGTCATTCTCAGGACTAACGTCAGTCTTCTTTCCATTGGACAACAGATTGGAATCTAGGAAGCCCCTTCCATTTTGGAGAATTCTTCCACTTAGGGTGGAGTTTTCTCATGTTGAAGTACTTGCTGCAGATGTCAGGGTCCACAGTTATTGGGTCAGAAATTCCAAGTCTTCAATTTTTTTCTTTCCCACAGCTGTTGCTTCCTCATAGCTCTGGAAATTGCAAATCATTTGGCCCCACTCAAATGCTCCAGATTCATTTTGTATATTTCCTGCCTCAGTTCTAGAATAAATCATTTCTCCTAGTTTCTTTTATTAGATAAGGGTATTAGAAACCAAGATCTGGTTGAAAGGGGCACCAGTAATTTTAGTGTCATTCATTCTAAGCCTTCTCAAATGACAAAGCAAAGACAAATATATTTTATATTAACTTGTGTGTCTACCCAAGTGTATAAATATTTAATATCTGACTGTCTGCATCTACATTAAGATAAACATGAGTTCATACTGATGTCATCCAATTTAAGCCATCACCCTTAGCACATGCTACCTTCTTAATTTTGCTTATCTGTAAATTCCATCCAACAATGAGAAACCTGCTCCCACCTTTCACCATCCATTTACTTAATTGTTCA